GCAGAGGTTGCAGTGAGCCGAGATGGCGCCACTGTACTCCAGCCTGGGTGACAGAGTAAGACACTGTCTCAAAGAAAAGAATAATAATAAATAATTTCAACATGATTTTTGGTGTGGACAAACAAATTGTATCCAAACCATTTACTTATTCATCCTAGTTCAGGACACTGTCCTGGGACTGACACAAGGGTTCATAGCCAGCTAGCACTGTGGGCTCACGCAGGTCCTTTCTGCTGTTTTATTTTAGTAGTTACTTATTTCCATTCCTCACTTCCACTGTCATTAAGCATTCTGAACTAGTCAGTGTTATCTTTCCTTTTTTTTTTTTTTTTTTTTTTTTTTGAGATGGAGTCTGTGTCTATCACCCAGGCTGGAGTGTAGTGGCACAATCTCGGCTCACTGCAACCTCACTTCAGCCTCCTGGGTTCAAGTGATTCTCCCGCCTCAGCCTCCCAAGTAGTTGGAACTACAGGCACATGCCATGACACCTGGCTAATTTAAAAAAAAAAAAAAAATTGTTGAGAGGCTGAGGCGGGACGATCACTTGAGGTCAGGAGTTCGAGACCAGCCTGGTCAACACAGTGAAACCCTGTCTCTATTAAAATTACAAAAATTAGGCAGGCATGGTGGCACGCTCCTGTAATCCCAGCTACTTGGGAGGCTGAGGCAGGAGAATTGCTTGAACCTGGGAGGTGGAGGTTGCAGTAGGCCAAGATCATGCCATTGCACTCAAGCCTAGGTGACAGAGCAAGACTATGTCTCAAAAAAAGAAAAAAAAAAAAAAAGAAGAAACAAAAATTGTTTTTGTAGAGACAGGGTCTGTGTTGCCCAGGCTGGTCTCAAACTCTTGGGCACAAGTGACCCTCTTGCCTTGGCCTCCCAAAGCATTGAGATTATAGGCATGAGCCGTTATTGTGCCTAGCCCCAATAAAACTTTATTTACAAAAACAGGTGGAGGGCCAAATTTGGCCCACAGGATGTAAGTTGCTAAACTCTGATCCGTTGTGTAACAGACACAGCCCTGCCTGTCATGTGGGGAATGGACACATGACCAGGCAGGGTGCAGTTTCTTGCTCTGGTGAGGAGTGGTCAGGGAGGCCTCCCTGGAGGAGGGGGCATGAAGCCAGGATCTGACAGACAAGGGGGAATCAGGCAGGCAAAATGGGGAAGAACATTCCTGCCCAGGGGACAGGCTGTGGGGAGGCCCAGAGGTGCAGGAGAGGGCGTTGAGTTGAGGCCTCCCAGAAGCCACCTGCTCAGCCCTTATCTGTCCCCCATCCCCACTATAGGCACCTTCAAGATCCAGAAGACGAGGCTGCAGCGAGAGGGCTTTGACCCACGCCAGACCTCGGACCAGCTCTTCTTCCTGGACCTGAAGCAGGGCCACTACCTGCCCTTAAACGAGGTGGTCTACACTCGCATCTGCTCGGGCGCCTTCTCCCTCTGAAGCTGTCTCCCTACTGGCCAGAAACTTCGGGCCTGGTGGGAAAGGCAGGCTTGAGCCAGACAGCCCTGCCTCGGGGTGGCCACCTCCTACACACCCACTTGGCCAAGCTGTACCTGGCAGGGCCCATCCTAGACTGAGAAACTGGAACCTCAGAGGAACCCATGCCTTTCTGCTGCCTTGGTGCCCCTGTGTCTGTCTCCCCTCCCTGCTTTCCGGCCTCTGTCTCCTTCCATCCCTGTCCCTATCTGGTCTTAACTCTTCCCTCTTTTTCTTCCCGCCCCCCTCCTTTTTTTTTTTTGAGACAGAGTCTTGCTCTGCTGCCCCGGTTACAGCGCAGTGGTGTGATCTCGGCTCACTGCAACCTCTGCCTCTGGGTTCAAGTGATCCTCCCCCCTCAGCCTCCTGAGAGCTGGGATTACGGGCACCCACCACCACATCCAGCTAATTTTTATATTTTTAGTAGAGACGGGGTTTCACCATGTTGGTCAGGCTGGTCTTGAACTCCTGACCTCAGGTGATCCGCTGGCTTCGGCCTCCCAGAGTGCTGGGATTACAGGCGTGAGCCACCGGGCCCAGCCTTTCCTTTTTCCTCTCTTCTCCTGCCGAGAGTGGAACACGCATGTCCTGGAAGCTGCGTCTTGTGCGGGGCCCAGCTGCTCTCGGGGGCTGCATGAATCATCTCCCCTGGGCCCTGGACTCAGACTGGGGCCTCCCCACCTCCCTCTCGGCTGTGCCTTACAGAGCCCCGGTCCAGGCCTCCTGCGGCTGTTGGGTTCCAGATGCTGCAGCTCCATGTGACTTCCCAGCAGGCCCTCCACCCTCCCTGCTGAATGGAGGAGCTGGGGGTCCCCCAGGCCAACTGGAAACATCTCCCAGGCTAGGCCAATTGCCTTTTGCACTTCCCTGTTCCTGTCACATTTCCCCAGCCCCACCTTCCCCTCCTGATGCCCTGAAAGCTTCCGGAATTGACTGTGACCGCTTGGATGTCGCCACTGTCAGCCGCTGCCTTGATGTCCCCATTTAGCCATCTCCATGGAGCTCCTGCTGGAGGTCCCTGAACCCTGCACTTCGTGGCTGCTCAGCTGGCTGCTTCCTGTCCTGGGAGGAGGCCTCCTGGGTATCCTCATCTGCTGTGGCTACCGGAGGATCCCATAGGAGAGGCAGCAGAGGGGTCAGCGGAGGTCTCTTGCCAGGGACTGGCCTCTCAAGCCTCAGGGGTTCTAGCCTGTTAAATATCTCCCACATCACGGTGGCCCCTCCAATGTCCCCACTGATGGCTCTGACACTGTGTTGGTGGCGATGTTCCAGACAATCCCACCAGGACGGCCCAGACATCCCTACTGGCCTCGCTAGTGGCTCATCTCGGACACCCATGCCAGCCTTTCTGGGGCCGGCCACCCAGGCCGCCTGTCCATCTGTCCTCCCTCCAGCAGCACCCCCTGGCCCCTGGAGTGGTGGGGCCATGGCAAGAGACACCATGGCGTCTCATGCGAACTTTCCTGGGCACTGTGGTTTTATTTCCTAATTGATTTAAGAAATAAACCTGAAGACCATCTGGTGCCTGCTGGGAGCCCATTCATTGAGTGTCCCCACGTGGCACAGAACTCTTGCTGAGTTTCAGAAGGCAGGACTCGGCCGGCCAGGCATAGTGGCTCATGCCTGTAATCCCAGCACTTTGGGAGGCTGAGGTGGGTGAATCACTTGAGCCCAGGAGTTCAAGACCAGCCAACATGGTGAAACCCCGTCTCTACTAAAAATACAAAAAAAAAATAATTAGCTGGGCTTGGTGGCTCACACCTGTCATCCCAGCTACTCGGGAGGCTGAGGCAGGAGAATCGTTGGAACCCAGGAGGCAGAGGTTGCAGTGCACTCTAGCCTGGGTGGCAGAGCGAGACTCTGGTTCAAAATAGAGAGAGAGGGAAGGAGGGAAAGAGGGAGGGAGGAAAGAAATACAAAAAGGAGTCAGGCGTGGTGGTATGGGAGAAAGGGAGAAAGGAAGGAAATACAAAAGATAGCCAGGCGTGGTGGTGCGCACCTGTAATCCCAGCAACCCCGGAGGCTGAGGCAGGAGAACTGCTTGAGCCCAGGAGGTGGAGGTTGCAGTGAGCCGAGATGGTGCCACTGCACTCCATCCCTGGTGACAGAGCCAGACTCTGTCTCAAAAAAAAAAAAAAGAAGGTGGGACCTCGTACCATGCGGCCCCCTCTGCAAGACCAAGGGGACCTTGGGGCAGGGGCCCTCGGCTTGGCCCCCTCGCTGGCCTGCCGAGGGGGAGGCACCTCCCTGCAGGGTGTGGGCCTCACAGGCCTGCGCTGGCCTGTGTCGTTGCAGGGGAGGGATGGCCAATCTGCCTGTGAGTTCCTGCAGGTGTTGCAGGATGGCTCCGATCACAGTGTGTCCTGGCACCTGTGGCTGCCCTGGGAGTGTCCTTCCGTGTACAGGCCAGCTGCTGTGAGAGCTCTGGGTGAAAGTTGCTAGGCCTGCTGGGGTGGCCATCTGAGCTGGGATTCGAACCCAGGACTCCAAGCTCAGGAGTCTATATAGTATTCCTCCCAATCCCTGGGGGATATGTTCCAAGACCCCAAATCGATGCCTGAAACTGACCATAATACTGAGCCCTAAATAGGTTTTGTTTCTTTTGTTTTCTTCCTTTCCTTTCCTTCTCTTTTTCTTTCCCTTCCTCCCTCCCTCCTTTCCTTTCTTTCCTTCATCCTTTCCTCCCTTTCTAATTTTAATTAATTAATTTATTTATTTTTGAGACGGAGTCCTGCTGTCTCCCAGGCTGGAGTGCAGTGGCACGATCTCGGCTCACTGCAAGCTCCGCCTCCTGGGTTCACGCCATTCTCCTGTCTCAGCCTCCCGAGTAGCTGGGACTAGAGTCGCCCGGTTAATTTTTTGTATTTTTAGTAGAGACAGGGTTTCACCGTGTTAGCCAAGATGAGTCTCGATCTCCTGACCTCGTGATCCGCCCGCCTCGGCCTCCCAAAGTGCTGGAATTACAGGCGTCAGCCACCGCGCCCGGCCTAATTTATTTATTTTTAAGACAAGGTCTTATCTGTTGCCCAGACCGGAGTACAGTGGCATGATCATGGCTCACTGCAGCCTTGACCTCCCACACTCAATCAATCATCCATCAGCCTCCTGCATGGCTGAGACTACAGATGTGCACCATCACGCCCAGCTAATTTTTTTTTTTTTTTTTTTGAGACGGAGTCTCACGCTGTCGCCCAGGCTGGAGTGCAGTGGCGCGATCTCGGCTCACTGCAGGCTCCGCCTCCCGGGTTCCCGCCATTCTCCTGCCTCAGCCTCCTGAGTAGCTGGGACTACAGGTGCCCACCACCACACTCGGCTAATTTTTTGTATTTTTAGTAGAGATGGGGTTTCACTGTGGTCTCGATCTCCTGACCTTGTGATCCGCCCGCCTTGGCCTCCCAAAGTGCTGGGATTACAGGCTTGAGCCACCGCGCCCGGCCCCAGCTAATTTTTTGATTTGTCTGCAGAGATGAGGTCCCACTGGATTGCCCAGAGTGGTCTATAACTCCTGGGCTCAAGCCATCCTCCTGCCTTGGCCTCCCAAAGTGCTGGGATAACAGGTGTGAGTCACCGTGTCCAATTTATACTGGTTTTTGGATCTCATAACCAGGAGGCTACTAAGTGACAAATGAGTGGGCGTGGAGGGATTGGTGTCTCCAGCATGGATCTGCTGGACAAAGGGGTGATTCATGACCCTGGGCGCGACAGAGAGGGACGGAGCAAGGCAGTCCAAGATTTCATTATGCTCCTCAGAACAGCACGCAATTTAAAACTTATGAATTGCTTATTTCTGGAATTTTCCATGTAATATGTTTGAACTGTGGAAACCTCAGAAAGAAACTTTGACTAAGCGGGGACTACTGTACTCTCAACTGACTCACCTCTACTGTCCCCCTCCCCGTGTCATAATGTTGGCCTCCTGTTTGTTGTCTCTATCTCGGGACAGGAGGGGACAGAGCTTTTGCTGGGAGAGGGCACTAAGTGGGTGACCCTTGCGTGCAGGTGAGCAAGTGCTTTTTTTTTTTTTTTTTTGAGATGGAGTCTCTGTCACCTAGGCTGGAGTGCAGTGGTGCAATCTGACTCACTGCAGCCTCCGCCTCCCAGGTTCAAGCCATTCTCCTGCCTCAGCCTCCCGAGTAGCTGGGATTGCAGGCACACGCCGCCACGCTGGGCTAATTTTTTGCATTTTTAGTAGAGACGGTGTTTCTCCATGTTGGTCAGGCTGGTCTTGAACTCCCGACCTCAGGTGATCCGCCCACCTCAGCCTCCCAAAGTGCTGGAATTACGGGTGTGAGCCACCACACCCAGCCCTCCTTTCTTTTTGAATAGTCCTGGCACAGTTGCCAAAGATGAGTTGACTATATATGTATGGGTTTATTTCTGCATCAGTTCCAATCATTTATTTGTATGTCTATCCTTATGCCAATACCACGCTGTTCTGATTACTGTACCTTTTTATTAAGTTTGAAATGAGAAAGTATGAGTCCTCCTATACAAAATTGTTTTGGCTATTTGGGGGCCATTTGCAATTTATTATGGATTTTAGGATCAATTTGTCAATTTCAACAAAAACACTGTAAATTTGAAAGGGATTACATTGCATCTGTAGACCAATTTGTGGAGTACTGCCATCTTAACAATATTATGCTTTCCAATCCATGAACGTGGAAGTCTTACCATTTATTTAGATCATCTTTAGTATTTTTTTCAGCAAAGTTTTAGTTATTTTGCTTGTTCTGAGACAGGGTCTCACTCTATTGCCCAGGCTGGAGTGGAGTGGCAGGAACACAGCTCACTGCAGCCTTAGCCTCCTGGGCTCAAGTGATCCTCCCACCACAGCCTCCCAAGTAGCTGGGACCACAGCAGCTGCCACCAGGTCCAGCCTTGGCTTCCCAAAGTGCTGGGATTACAGGTGTGAGCCACCAAGCCCAGCTACAGCTCTCAATGAACAAGGTCTTGTACTTCTTTCATTAAATTTATTCCTGCTTTATTCTTTATGATGCTATGGTAAATGGAATCGTTTTCTTAATTTGCTGCTGATTTTAAAATCCACTACCTGTGTGAGCTGAACTGTGCTTACACACCTCACTGAAATGTCCCACTCTCAGAAGTGGCCCTGCCTCCCCAGGTCCACCAGGCCTTCTTCCCCTTTCAGCCCTCTGTCCAGGCAAGAACTCGATTGGAGGCCTTTCTGGGCACTCAGAGGTACACAACAGCACACTAGGAGCGTTAGCTCTAAGAACTTCAATAGGCATGGCCAGGCGCGGTAGCTCTTGCCTGAATGCTACTACTTTGGGAGGCCGAGGCGGGAAGATCGCTTGAACCCAGGAGTTCAAGACCAGCCTAGACCATATATATATGGAGCCCGTACCCCCGGAAAAAGTTAAACAAACAAAAAAATTCAACAAGCATATTTTCATCCCGTACTTTTTTCTGAGATGGAGTCTTGCTCTGTCGCCCAAGCTGGAGTGCAGTGGCATGATCTCGGCTCACTGCAACCTCCGCCTCCCGGGTTCAAGCGATTCTCCTGCCTCAGCCTCCCGAGTAGCTGGGATTACAGGCACGCGCCACTACGCCCGGCTAGTTTTTTAAATTTTTAGTAGAGACGGGATTTCACCATGTTGGCCAGGCTGGTCTGGAACTCCCGACCTCGGGTGATCCGCCCACTTCGGCCTCCCAAAGGGCTGGGATTACAAGCATGAGCCTCTGCGCTCGGCCTCATACCCTACTTTGTGCCAAGCATAGTTCAGGAAGCTTACGAGGCATTAAGTGAAAAAAACAATATCCGTAAGTTTATGGGGCTTATATTTTAATTAACGGGGGTGGACAACAACTAGCAACAAGATAAATATGTTTAAAGGTGCAGGAATTTTAAAACTCGTCAAAATACGCCCTCCTCCAGAAAATCCCTGCCACCTCGAAAGGACATCCTCTTCTTGAGCTCCCCTCTCTAGCACTCCCTGATACCGCAAGATTGAGCATTCGCGCACTGGCTTCCCGAACTCACTTCGACTCAGCCACAGCAGAGAAAGATTCAATGGGTAGGGCCGGACCGACCACCCGACACTCGCGGCGCTTCACTTGCCTCATTGCGCATGTACCAAAGGCAATCGTCCAAAGTACTCCAAGCCGAGTAGCAGGGCCGGCCCTTGCGCAGGCGTACTAGCGGCCGTCGGGAGCGCTTCCGCCTCCCCGCCGCCGCCCTCGCCATGGCCGCGCCGGCCCCGGGCCTCATCTCGGTGTTCTCGAGCCCCCAGGAGCTGGGTGCGTCGCTAGCGCAGCTGGTGGCCCAGCGCGCAGCATGCTGCCTGGCGGGGTCCCGCGCCCGTTTCGCGCTCGGCCTGTCGGGCGGGAGCCTCGTCTCGATGCTAGCCCGCGAGTTGCCCGCCGCCGTCGCCCCGGCCGGGCCAGTCAGCCTAGCGCGCTGGACGCTGGGCTTCTGCGACGAGCGCCTCGTGCCCTTCGATCACGCCGAGAGCACGTACGGCCTCTACCGGGTGAGAGCTACGGGGGCCGCCGGGGGTCACGCCGAGAGGGCCACAGCTACCACCTACACCCCAGCTACGGAGGCCGCCGGGGGCCATGCCGAGAGGGCCGCGCCCACTGCCTGCACCTCGGTTACGGGGGCCGTTGGGAGTCACGCCGAGAGGGCCGAGCCCACTGCCTGCACCTCGGCTACGGGGTCACTGGGTATCATGCCAAGAGGGCCGTGCCCACTTCCTGCACCTCGACTATGTGGGCCGCTGGGGGTCATGCCAAGAAGGCCGCGCCCACCGCTTGCACTTCGGCTACGGGGCTCCTGGGGGGTCATGCCGAGAGGGCCACGCCCACTGCCTGCACCTCGGTTACGGGGGCCGTTGGGAGTCACGCCGAGAGGGCCGAGCCCACTGCCTGCACCTCGGCTACGGGGTCACTGGGTATCATGCCAAGAGGGCCGTGCCCACTGCCTGCACCTCGACTATGTGGGCCGCTGGGGGTCATGCCAAGAAGGCCGCGCCCACCGCTTGCACTTCGGCTACGGGGCTCCTGGGGGGTCATGCCGAGAGGGCCACGCCCACTGCCTGCACCTCGGCTACGGGGGCCGCTGGGGGTCTTGCCGACTGGGCTCGCCCTCCGCCTGAACCCCGCCTACAGTGGGTCCCGCAGGATCTCACTGCGCCCTCTGCATTTATCTGGGCAGGAATGGTCTACTTGTAGTCCGTCTTCATGCTTCATCCGGTGGCCAGGCAGAAGGAACGGCACGGGCAAGGGCCTGGAAGGGAATCCGAGTGGCCCATGTCAATACGATGCCCATAACTCAGCCTCGTAGCGGACAGGGGCACGAGGAATCGGGTGTAGAGCCTGAGTCTCAGGGTCATGATCTCTAACCCCGGCGAGTTCTCGAGGATCCCTGGGCAGCTTTGCCGCTCTGATGGCTCTGCTTCCAGGCTCTTTATCTTTGGAATTGAGCCTAAGGATTCTATAGAATCAGAGGAACGCGCTCTTTTTATAGACAGGGAAACTGAGGCTTGGAGGAGCCTTGGTCTGGCCAAGGGAAGAGTGGGAGGGGCGGGCTCAAAGACCAGGAACCTCAAGTCACCTGAGCCTGGCAGAGTCAAGGGACACCCCATGCTGGGTGTGTCGTCTTCTCTTTGCATAGAATCTTGAGCTGATGATGGCTTTGTGGGTTTTTTATTAAGAGAAAAGGCTTACTGAATGCTTTATATGCATCAATTCATGAATCCGTACCACAGCCTATGAGATGTTACACCCATTTTACAGATGGAGAAACTGAGGCCAGAAGAGGAGAGCTTACCTGCCCAAGGCATCTAGTGACCAGAGGGGCAGCCAGGGTGTGATCCTGCCTCATCTGACTTCGTAGTTGGGGACACATTTAACTTCCGCCTTCCTGTGTGTGTTTTCCAAGAGCGTCATTAAAAAGCGGGTTTTGCCCGGGCACGGTGGCTCACACCTGTAATCCCAGCACTTTGGGAGGCTGAGGTGGGTGGATCACCTGAGGTCAGGATTTGGAGACCAGCCTGGCCAATGTGGCAAAACCCCGTCTCTACTAAAAAAAAAAAAAAATACAAAAATTGGCTGGGCGCGGTGGCTCATGCTTGTAATCCCAGCACTTTGGGAGGCTGAGGCAGGCAGATCACGAGGTCAGGAGTTTGAGACCAACGTGACCAATATGGTGAAACCTGGCTCTACTAAAAATACAAGAATTAGCCAGGCGTGGTGGTGCGTGCCTGTAATCCCAGCTGCTCGGTAGACTGAGGCAGGAGAATCCGGGAGGTGGAGATTGCAGTGAGTGGAGATCATGCCATTACACTCCAACCTGGGCAACAGAGCGAGACTTTGTCTTAAAGGAAAAAAAAGCGGGTTTTTGGCCAGGTGTGGTGGCTCGTGCCTGTAATCCCAGCACTTTGGGAGGCCGAGGAGGGCGGATCTCCTGAGGTCAGGTGTTGGAGACCAGCCTAGCCAACATGGTGAGACCCCATCTCTACTAAAAATACAAAAGTTAGCTGGGTGTGGTGGCGCGCGCCTGTAATCCCAGCTACGGGGGAGGCTGAGGCAGGAGAATTGCTTGAATGTAGGAGCAGTGAGCTGAGATCGTGCCACTGCACTCCAGCCTGGGTGACAGTTGAGACTGTGTCTCTAAATAAATAAATAAATAATTGTGAAATGCTGCAGAGTGCTAGTGAATAGGGAGTGAGCATTCATCAAGGGCTATGGGGCGGGAGGTCCTGAGAAGGTGCCATTTGAGCTGAGAGCTGGAGCACGTGCAGGAGCTGGCCGTGGTCAAGCTGCGGCATGAGGGCTCAGCCAAGGCCAAGGCCGTGTGATGGGAAAAAATCTGGAGCCAGGACTTGCTCCTTCTGCCAGTTCTCTGTGAGGGGAATTGTATTGGTTCCCTAGGGCTACATAACAAATGACCACAAACTGAGCGGCTTAAAACCACAGGAATTTATTCTCTCATCGTTCTAGAGGCCAGAAGTCTGAAATCAAGGTGTTGATGGGGTCATGCCCCATCTGAAAGCTCTTTGGGAGGATCCTTCATTTTCTCCTCCATCTTCTGGGGGCTCTGGGCGTTCCTTGTCTTGGGGTCACATCATTCCAGTTCCTGCCTCTGTCTGCACACGGCCTTCTCGGATTCTGTGTGTCTTCTCGTCTTATATAAGGATGCCAGTCATTGGACTTAGGACCTACACTAATCCACTATGACTTGTTCTTAACTAATTACATCTGGAAAGACCCTGTTTCCTTTCCCTCCCTCCCTCCCTCCCTTCCTTCCCTCCATCCCCCCTCTTTCCTTCCTTCCTATACTTTCTTTTCTTTTCCTTTCCTTTTCTTTCTTTTTTCGAAATAGGATCTTGCTGTGTTACCCAGGCTAGAGTACAGAGGCACGATCATGGCTTACTGCAGCTTTCAACTCCTGGGCTCTATCAATCCTCCTGCCTCAGCCTCCTCATTAGCTGGGACCACAGGTGTACACCACTAGGCCCAGCTATGGTTTTTTTGGTTTTTTTTTTTTGGGTCGGAGTTTCGCCCTTGTTGCCCAGGCTGGAGTGCAATGGCGCGATCTCAGCTCACCGCAACCTCTGCTTCCCGGGTTCAAGTGATTCTCCTGCTTCAGCCTCCCACGTAGCTGGGATTGATTGCAGGCATTCACCACCACGCCCAGCTAATTTTGTATTTTTAGTAGATTTTGTATTTAAGGTTTTTTGTATTTAGGGTTTCTCCATGTTAGTCAGGCTGGTCTCGAACTCCTGACCTCAGGTGATCCGCCCGCCTCGGCCTCCCAAAATGCTGTGATTACAGGCATGAGCCACCGTGTGAGGCTGCTAATTTTTAAAGTAAATATGAAGTCTCACTGTGCTGCCCAGGCTGGTCTCAAAATCCTGGGCTCAACCGATTGTCCCACCTCAGCCTCCCAAAGTGCTGGGATTACAGCCATGAGCCACCATGCCTGGCCATTTTCTGATGTTTATAAGCCTCAAGTTTATGGTGTTTTGTGATAGCAGCCTGCATAGACTAACACAGGGAACTTGGACAAAGCAGAGCGGTCTTTCCAACTATGGATATGATTGTGTCCCTCCCCAGCTCACACACCCTCCTTGGCTCCCCAGTGCCCTCAATGTGGAGCTCATACTCCTCAGCATTCAAGGCAGTCAGCCCCTGCGTTTACTTTGTGGCTCACCTTAGCATTGCCTCAGCTCACTGAGCTAGACTGCACAGCAGTGAGGCACTGAGACATGGAAGCCATCTCAGAGCAGATCAGGACCCCCCAGGCGCATCTCAGCGGGATAGGGCTGCAGCTTTCTCCTTGCAGGAGGCCTGACTCCAAGTGCTTTTGAGTTAAATCTGCTGCCAGCTCCTCCACCATTCACAGGCCAGGGCATCTACTGTGCGTTGGCCACAAGTGCTGGGCCTGGGCAAACCTGGCCCCCACTCCCTATAGTGGGGCAGGTGCAGGCGGGGGTGGCTGTCGGAGGAGGTGGCCTGAGGGATGTATAGGAGATTCCCAGGCAGCGTCAGGAGGGAGGGTGGGGATGAAGAAGTTCACGCTTCTCCAAGGAGGGCTGTGAGGGGCTGAGTTTTATCCCAAGGGCCGTGGGACCCTGGAGGCTTTGAAACAGGACAATGGGCTGGCTAGACACGTGCAGGCTGTGGCCAGGAAACCCCTCAAATACAACGGAATTGAAAGACTCCTGTTGGAATGCTGGCCCCAGCAGGAACCACCATGATCTCGATTCACCCAGGAGAGCCGCCCTCCTGTCCAGCCCCCCAAGAGCAGCAGGGCTCCCTCTTGCCCTTGAACCTCCTGTGCCCTGAGAGGCAGCATCACCCAGGGCTTAGGATCCTGGCTTCCAGCATTCCAGAGGTGACTCACCAACCAAAGTGTCACTCACCAACCAAAGGACCTTGCACAAATGCACCAGCCTCCCCATGCCTCAGTCTCCCCATCTGTAAATGAGTGTTATGACAGTAATGTCATAGCCTCCCTGGAGGATCCAGGTGGTCACGTTACTGTTGGTGACACTGTCCCTCTGTTGGCTGCAGACGCATCTTCTCTCCAGATTGCCGATCCCAGAAAGCCAGGTGATCACCATTAACCCCGAGCTGCCTGTGGAGGAGGCGGCTGAGGACTACGCCAAGAAGCTGAGACAGGTGAGCCCCAAGGAGCGGCTGCAAGGGAGTCACATCCACGAAGTGGCCACACCCCAGGCAACAGAGCGGCCTTCTGATTGTCACCAGCAGGAACTGCCCCAGGGATAACTGGCAGATCCCTTTGAGGAATCCCCTCTTCAAGGCCACAGCCCTGCCCTGGGAAGCCTGAAGGCCACCCAGCCTCTGTTGCCCAGGTAACAGGCCTGGGTCCTCACATCTTGGTGAAATATGATGGGTGTGGCTTTGATCACAGGCTAGGTTGAGCACGGTTTCCTGTGTTACAGCTACTTGTATTGAGACGGAGTATCGCTTTGTTGCCCAGGCTGGAGTGCAGTGGCGCAATCTTGGCTCACTGCAAGCTTCACCTCCCGGGTTCATGCTATTCTTCTGCCTCAGCCTCCTGAGTAGCTGGGACTACAGGCACCCGCCACCGCAGCTGGCTAATTTTTTATATTTTTCAGTAGAGACGGGGTTTCACCATATTAGCCAGGATGGTCTTGATCTCCTGACCTCATGATCCACCCGTCTCGGCCTCCCAAAGTGCTGGGATTACAGGCGTGAGCCACCGTGCCTGGCCTTTTTTTTTTTTTTTTTTTTTTTTGAGACGGAGTCTCGCTCTGTCGCCCAGGCTGGAGTGCAGTGGCGCGATCTCAGCTCACTGCAAGCTCCGCCTCCCGGGTTCACGCCATTCTCCTGCCTCAGCCTCCTGAGTAGCTGGGACTACAGGCGCCCACAACCGCGCCCGGCTAATTTTTTGTATTTTTAGTAGAGACGGGGTTTCACCGTGGTCTCGATCTCCTGACCTTGTGATCCGCCCGCCTCGGCCTCCCAAAGTGCTGGGATTACAGGCGTGAGCCACCGCGCCCGGCCTTTTTTTTTTTTTTTTTTTTTTTTGAGACGGAGTCTCACTCTCTCACCTGGGCTGGAGTGCAGTGATGCAATTTCAGCTCACTGCAACCTCTGCCTCCCGAGCTCAATTAATTCTCCTGCCTCAGCCTCCCAAGTATCTGGGACTACAGGCGCCTGCCACCATGCCCGGCTAATTTTTATATTTTTAGTAGAGACAGGGTTTCACTATGTTGGCCAAGCTGGTCTTGGACTCCTGACCTCGTGATCCGCCCACTTCGGCCTCCCAAATTGCTGAGATTTCAGGCGTGAGCCACACCACACTGAGCCACAGCTACTTGTATTTTTTTATCTGACAATGGTCTCTGTGTCCTCTGAGTCTCCCCTGCCCCTGCCGCCTACAACCTCTCAAGACTGTCTTCTCCCCATACCCAGGCATTCCAAGGGGACTCCATCCCAGTTTTCGACCTGCTAATCCTGGGGGTGGGCCCTGATGGCCACACCTGCTCACTCTTCCCAGACCACCCCCTCCTGCAGGTGAGCACTTCAATGCGGGGTTCCGCCCTAGTCCTGAGCCCAGTCCCTAACATCTGGGACTTCCAGAGGGAGGGCCACCTGCAGGGTGGGGTGTCTAGAGCCGGGGTTCAAGTCAGCCTCCACCAGCGTACCTGCCTGCTGGGCTCAACCTTTCCAGGTCTCAGTTCAGCCCCTTAAAACAAGGACCTTAAACTACCCACCATGGGATTGTTAGGATGGGATGGAATGGTGGCTGGACCAGGCCTGGTGTATGTAAGTGTCTAAAAAGCTGAAGTGACATTGTCCTTCTGCCTCCATCCCTGGGCTTCCTCCCCAAGGAGCGGGAGAAGATTGTGGCTCCCATCAGTGACTCCCCGAAGCCACCGCCACAGCGTGTGACCCTCACGCTACCTGTCCTGAATGCAGCACGAACTGTCATCTTTGTGGCAACCGGAGAAGGCAAGGCGGCTATTCTGAAGGTAACAGCAGAGGGTTCTAGTCCTGGGAAGTTCATGGGCATGTGGGCCCCAGGAACAGGTAATGGCCCCAGACATTATTGTGCTGAAGCATCAGATGTGAAGAAAACTCAGTCATTCTTGGGTTGAAAGGGAACTTGAAATTGCAATTAGAAAAAAAGGAAAAAATAAAAAAGGAAATTACAATTAAAGGCTAGTTAGGTATTAACCGCTATGAAATGAACTTGATGAGATGAGGCCAAAGCTGCACTCAGAGGTAAATTAATAGCATTCAAATGCATTTTTAAAAAATTATTAAGTAGCAAACCATTGAAATAAATAAATAAAGTGCTTTCCTATAGAATTAGAAAAAGGACAATAATAGGTTGGGCACAGTGGCTCATACCTATAAGCCCAGCATTTGGGAGGCCAAGGCGGGTGGATCACCTGAGGTCAGGAGTTCCAGATCAGCCTGGCCAACCTGGTGAAACCCCATCTCTGCTAAAAAAACAAAAATTAGTTGGGCATAGTGGTGGGCGCCTGTAATCCCAGCTACTCAGGAAGCTGAGGCAGGAGAATCACTTGAACCTGGGAGGCGGAGGTTGCAGTGAGCTGAGATCACACTACTGCACTCCAGCCTGGGCGACAGAGTGAGACTCCATCTCAAAAAAAAAAAAAAAGAAAAAAGAAAAACTAGAAAAAGGACAATAATATAAATCTACAAAAGTCAGTGGCAGGACTAAGTGAAATTAAAATCAGAAATTAATGAGTTAGTTAATATATTTTAAACTTTAATGGTAAGTAGATCTAAAAGATAGACAAGCTCCTGACAAGGCTAATCAAGAGAAAAGAAAGTCACATGGTATTATGAATAAAAAGGCACAGCCAGGCATGGGGGCTCACATCTGTAATCCCAGCACTTTGGGAAGCCTAGTCAGGTGGATCACCTGAGGTCAGGAGTTCTAGACCAGCCTGGCCAACATGGTGAAACCGTCTCTATTAAAAATACAAAAATTAGCCGGGTGTGGTGGCAGGCACCTATAATCCCAGCAACTCGGGGGGGGGTCGAGGCAGGAGAATCGCTTGAACTCAGGAGGCGGAGGTGGCAGTGAGCTGAGATCGTGCCATTGCACTCCAGCCTGGGGAACAAGATTGAGACTTTGTCTCAAAAAAAAAAAAAAAGTTAGCTGGGCGTGGTGGCACTTGCCTGTAATCCCAGCTACTCGGGAGGCTGAGGCAGAAGAATCACTTGAACCTGGGAGGCGGAGGTTGCAGTAAGTCAAGATCGCATCACTGCACTCCAGCCTGGGCAACAGAGCAAGACTCCATCTCAAAAAAATAAATTAATTAATTAAAATAGTTATAGTGGATAGAAAGGAAGGGACTCTGTCCCTGCTGTTTGGCACTAGGACAGCTGAGCTGGGCATCGTCACATTTTGAGGATACAAGAGTCTTACTTATCCTTGGCAAGGGAGCCAGGAGAGTGCTGAGGGGCGGCGCCTGGGGCGCAGGCAGGGCTTTACTCTTCTGTCCTCTTCTGCAGCGCATTTTGGAGGACCAGGAGGAAAACCCGGTGCCTGCCGCCCTGGTCCAACCCCACACCGGGAAACTGTGCTGGTTCTTGGACGAGGCAGCCGCCCGACTCCTGACCGTACCCTTCGAGAAGCATTCCACTTTGTAGCTGGCCAGAGGGACGCTGCAATTGGAACCAGGCACACGGCCCCAGGGGCTGGGCCCCTGCTGGCCGCCACGCTCTCGGTTCTTCTTTCAAAAAGCTGGTGGTGGTGCTGCTGCTGGAAGCCAACAGCGTCCAGCCACCAGCCCTGCCCGGGGCTCAACACACAGGCTGTGGCTCTGGGCATCCGGATATTAAAAGGAACGTTGCTGGAAGTCTGCACTGTCTCGTGGTCTTTGATGGCAGCAGGCTTGAGGGCACCCTGGCCCAGGTTCTGATCCACAGCCCTCATGCGTGGGGAGGAGGATGGAGCCTGCTCCCCTGGGGCATAGACGCCATGGATGAATTTCCTAAGACAATAGGCTGGGCGAGGTGGCTCACACCTGTCATCCCAGCATTTTGGGAGAATGAGGTGGGCAGATCACTTGAGGTCAGTAGTTTGAGACTAGCCTGGCCAACATGGTGAAATCTCGTCTCTACTAAAAATATAAAAATTACCTGGGTGTGGTGGTGCGCACCTGTAGTCTCAGCTACTTGGGAGGCTGAGGCACAACAATCGCTTGAACTGGGGAGGTAGAGGTTGCAGTGAGCTGAGATCGTGCCACTGCACTCCACCCTGGGTGACAGAGCGAGACTCCGTCTCAAAAAAAAAAAATGCTGGGCATGGTGGTTCACTCCACCCAGCACTTTGGGAGGCCGAGGCGGGCGGATCACCCGAGGTCAGGAGTTTGAGACCAGCCTGATCAATATGGCAAAACCCCATCTCTACTGGAAATACAAAAATTAGCTGGGTGTGGTGGCATGCACCTGTAATCCCAGCTACTTGGGTAGCTGAGACAGGAGAATTGCTTGAACCCGGGAGGTGGAGATTGCTGTGAGCCAAGACTGCGCCATTGCACTCCAGCCTGGGCAACAAGGGTGAAACTCCGTCTTAAAAAAAAACACACACACACACACACACACACAAATGTATTCTGTCTTATTCTCCCTTAGCTGTAGAGATCAGAAATCCAAGGTCAGCCGGGCGCGGTGGCTCAAGCCTGTAATCCCAGCACTTTGGGAGGCTGAGACGGGCGGATCACGAGGTCAGGAGATCAAGACCATCCCAACATGGGCTAACATGGTGAAACCCCGTCTCCACTAAAAAATATAAAAAACTAGCCGGGCGAGGTGGCGGGCACCTGTAGTCCCAGCTACTCGGGAGGCTGAGGCAGGAGAATGGCGTGAACCCGGGAGGCGGAGCTTGCAGTGAGCTGAGATCCGGCCACTGCACTCCAGCCTGGGCGACAGAGCGAGACTCCGTCTCAAAAAAAAAAAAAAAAAGAAATCCAAGGTCAAGGTGGTGGCAGGGCTGGTTCCCTCTGGAGGCTCTGAGGCAGAGCCCATCCCAGGCCCCTCCTGTCCTTGGCATTCCTTAGCTTGTGGCCGTGTCACTCCAGTCTCTTGTTTTTACTTGGACTTCTTTCTCTTGCGTGTTCTCTGCTCCTATTTATTTATTTTTTTGAGACAGGGTCTCTGTATGTCACCCAGGCTGGAGTGCAGTAGTGCAATCACAGCTCACTGCAGCCTCCGTCTCCTGGGCTAAAGCGATCCTCTCACCTCAGCCTCCCAAGGAGCTGGCGCTACAGATGCGCACCACCACGCCTGGCTACTTGTACACATTTTTTGTAGAGACAGGGTCTTGGTACGCTGCCCAGGTTGGTCGTGAATCCCTGAGATCAAGCGATCCTCCAGCCTCAGCCTGCCAAAGTGTTGGGATTACAGGCATAATCCATTGTGCCCAGCCCTGTTTTCTGAAAAGGACACCTCTCATTGGATTTAGGATTGCTCAAGATACCAAATGAGTATTCCAAATAAGTTCCAAATAAATGCCTATTTGGAATAAGCGTTCCGAATAAGGTCACATGCTGAGTTTCCTGGGTCAGGATGTAGACATGTCCTTTGGGGGACATAAGTCAACCCTCTGCTGAGCTCCAACTGCACTGACAGGGCCACGCACTGGATTCAGCCGCGCTGTAGACCTGCTCAGAGCCTTGAAAGCACCAGAAAGTCTAGTGTCCCTGTGCTGGGCTCCTGCACATTTTCCCAGAGTGCATCTGCTCGTGGCCCACGCTTCAGCTTTCTCCGGGCCCCAGGGATGACAGTGTGGGAGGCTGGTGGGTGCATGGGGGCTGCCCAGCCATGCACAGGCTTCTGCTGGGGGATCCAGAGGAGGTACCCAGCTGAGCAGGAGGTGGGAATTGAAACCTACGCAGAGGCGGCTGTGCAGGGTGAGAGTGGAGCCAAAACCACAGAAAGTGAAGTTTCCTTCAACATCTTGTCCCGGCGGGCCACTCAGATGTGAGAGTGAGGAAGTGGGACGGGGCCTGACCGGAAGGAGGTTGGTAAACAGCAAAGAGAGCTGAATGTAAGCTCAGCTGTGGGCCTGGGTGAGGGCAGGTGGCTGTGGCCCCCAGAGCTGCGGACACAGGGCTGAGAAGCGAAGGGAAATTGAACAACCAGCGCAGGGACCCCACATGGACGGCCTGGAGCTGTCACCATCTCCTACTCTTCCCAAGAGTGACAACTCTTCCTGCTCCGTTTTGCCTTGGGAGTGAAATCCACCCATCCCACAAGGCTCCACGTGGCCCCTTTCACCTCCCCCTCTCCCCAGCAACATCAGCCCCCTCACTCAGTCTCCCTGCAGCGCACCCACTTCCTGCTGTTCCTGGAGCTCGCTGAGCACATTCCCACCCCAGGGCCTTTGCCTGTGCTGAGCCCGCTGCCTGATAGCTCCTTTCCTGCAGCTTTTTGCATGGCTTGGACCCTCGCTTTCTTTTTGGGGGGGACACGGTCTTGCTGTATCATCCAGGCTGGAGTGCAGTGGTGTGATCTCAGCTCACTGCAACCTCCGCCTCCTGGGTTCATGCCATTCTCCTGCCTCAGCCTCCCAAGTAGCTGGGACTACAGGCGCCCGCCACCTCGCCCGGCTAGTTTTTTTGTATGTTTTTAGTAGAGACGGGGTTTCACCATGTTAGCCAGGATGGTCGCGATCTCCTGACCTCGTGATCCGCCCTTCTCAGCCTCCCAAAGTGCTAGGATTACAGGCTTGAGCCACCGCGCCCAGCCAACATAAATTTTTTTAAAAAGAAGAAATGAATCCTGGGGTGTTAGTGAAGATTACATTCAGATATTACTAGAGGCTTAAGCAAAATGGAGGTTTAGCTCTTTCTCTGGAGAGACACTGTTCAGGGCTGGTAAAGCAATGCCACACATTCTTCAGGAACCCTAGCTCCTTCTACATCATTACTTTGCCCTGTCATCAGCTGGATTCTGCCTCATGGCCCAAGGCGGCTGCTTGTGCTCTAGCCATTGTGTCCACATTCCAGCCCTAGCATGAAGAAGCTTCCCAGGAGTCACCCAAGACACTTCTGCTCACTCCTTTTTGGCCAGCCTGGGTTGCACAGCCCCACACAGTAGCAAGGAAGTCTGGAAGATGAGTCTCCACTGGATAGCCATGGGCTCCGTTATGATCAGGGATTCTACTACTGAAGCCAATAGGAGCAATGGACATTGAGGGACACGTGTTCTCTATTCATTGATGAGCTGCCCGCCTGCCTCAGGGGCTCCCTGGGGATCTTGCCATCTGAGGGGCCACACTCTGGGCTTTCCTTCCTCCAGCCTGGAGCCCCTGGCTGCTGGGAAGTGTTCAGTGTCCTTGAGAGGTCTTCAGGGACCTACCCCACTCCCCAGCCCACGCTGGATCCACAGCTCAGTGCTTGACACTCCCCTCATCAGAAAACCTGTGACGGCTCCATTTGATCACATTTCAGCTTGGAGTGTAGACTGCATGCCCTCCCTCCATTCATTCATTCATTCATTCATGCACGCATTTATTCATGCATTCATTCAGCAAACATCGAGGGCTGCTCTGTGCCAGGCACAAAACAGGTGAAGGGGTGGAGACACCCAACTAACCAAACCAGGTCAAATGCTGGGACATAAAGGTCGTGCCCAACCAGTCCAGGGGCACTGGGACGGCTCTCCAAGGGGCTGGTATCTGGTCTCTTCACCTGAGGGGTGAAGCTTGGACGACCACGTGCAGGAGGCAGGAGCAAGAGTTCAGGCACTGGACAAGACCGTGGGGGTCAGAGGAACGTGGGGGCTTCAGGAGCTACAGGGGGCTGAGCAGAGCCAAAGGGCTCTTAGAGCGATGAAGCTGGGGAGTCAGTGGTGCTTTCCCAGAGGGCACTGGGACAGCTTCGGGAGGTCAGCACTGAGGATTTGGGGGTGCTGGAGATGGGATCTGGGCCCGAGAAAAGGGACACCGCTGGATGAGGTGGCTCACACCTGTAATCCCAGCACTTTGGGAGGCTGAGGCGAGAGGATCACCTGAGGTCAGGAGTTTGAGACCAGCCTGGCCAACGTGGCGAAACCTCATCTCTACAAAACAAAACAAAACAAAACAAAATTCGCCAGAAATCACTTGAACCCAGGAGGCGGAGGTGGCAGTAAGCCAAGATCATGCCACTGCACTCCAGCCTGGGCAACAGAGTGAGACACCGTCTTAAAAAAAAACAAAAAAAGGCCAGGCATGGTGGCTCAAGCCTATAATCCCAGCACTTTGAGAGGCCGAGAAGGGCGGATCACGAGATCAGGAGATCGAGACCATCCTGGCTAACACCGTGAAACCCCATCTCTACTAAAAATACACACACACACAAAAAAAATTAGCCAGGTGAGGTGGCGGGCGCACCTGTAGTCCCAGCTACTCGGGAGGCTGAGGCAGGAGAATGGCGTGAACCTGGGAGGTGGAGCTTGCAGTGAGCCAAGATTGCGCCACTGCACTCCAGCCTGGGCGACAGAGCAAGACTCTGTCTCAAAAAAAGAACACTTTAGGAGGTCAAAGTGGGCGGTTACGAGGTCAGGAGTTCGAGACCAGCCTGGCCAGCATAATGAAACCCCGTCTCTACTGAAAATACAAAAAACTAGCTGGGTGTGGTGGCGGGCGCCCGTAATCCTAGCTACTCGGGAGGCTGAGTCAGGAGAATTGCTTGAACTCAGGAGGTGGAGGTTGCAGTGAGTCAAGATCGCACCATTGCACTTGAGTCCGGGCAACGGTTCTAGACGCCATCTCAAAAAAAAAAAAAAAAAAAAAAAAAAAAGACACCTTTAAGAGACACTTAAGTGAACTGTGCCAGGTGTAGTGACTCACGCCTGTAATCCTAACATTTTGGGAGGCCGAGGCAGGTGGATCACTTGAGTCCAGAAGTTTGAGACCAGCCTGGGCAGCATAGGAAGACCCCGTGTCTACAAAAAATACAAAAATTAACCAGGCATGGTGGTGGCGTGTGCCTGTGGGCCCAGCTACTCTGGAGGCTGAGGCGAGAGGGTCGCTTGAGCACAGGAGTTCCAGGCTGCAGGGAGCCATGATCGTGCCACTGCACTCCAGCCTGAGCGACAGAGCAAGACCCTGTCTGTAAAAAAAAAAAAAGGAAAAAGAAATGGAGTCCAGGTGATGGACTGGTAGGAGGGACAGTGTTGGGGGCCTGAGGAAGGAATCAAGGATGAAGCTTCAGTGCCCCCCAAGTCTCTGCTCGCCCCTGCCAGACCCCCCCTTCCTCTAAGACCTTGGCATCTACCCCCTGCCCCAGCACTGACCCCAGAGACAGTCTGGGAGTGCCTGTCCAGCTCTGTCTCCCCCTAGGAGCTGGGCCAGGGCTGTATCCTCTCTGGGGTCCAGCCTCACCCGGCACAGGGTAGGCACAGTGGCGGGGGTGTGTGTGGCACCAGGAACTAGATGCCCCATCCCTGCCCATCTCCCTGTTCCAGCCCCTATACATGGTGACTGCTGGCCGGTCCTGCCAGATGTCTGCCCTGCCGCCCTCCTCCAAGATGAGCTATGATTTTCTTTCTCCCATACCCCACAACCTACCCCCGGGACTGTCCCCGCAGCCTCTACAGAAACCACTGGCTCTGGGCAACTTGGCCCCAAGGGAGTGGGGAGGACGCAGGTGCAGCATGGGGTGGGGCCGGGGTGGGGCCTCTGAACCCACTGCGTCCAAGCCTCTCACCCGCCACCCAGGTGCCCCTGAACCGAGGAACGCAGGCGGTGGTCATAGGGAGGGGAAGGGAAGCACCAGGAGACAGCAGCAGCATGGGCGGGCGACCCTCGAGCCCTCTGGACAAGCAGCAGCAGCAGCACCTAAGGGGTGAGCAGCCGGGGTGGGGACGGGGTGGGAGTCCGGGTGAGCGGGGGCTCCAGCCATTGGGTCCACATGCTCCATGCAGCAGATGGGGTTGGAGTTCAGACCTAGGCCTGTCAAACACACAGGATGCCTTCTTAATGTAAATTTCTCATAGTGAATCTTTTGTTATTGTTGAGGCAGGATCTTGTCTGTTGCCTGAGCTGGAGTGCAGTGGTATGATCATGGCTCACTTCAACCTTGTCCTCCTGGGCTCAAGCGATTCTCCCACCTCCACCTCCCAAGTAGCTGGGACCACAGGCGTGCACCACCATGCCCAGCTAATTATTTTATTTTTTTATTACTATTATTTTTTAATAGAGACAGGGTGTCCCTATGTTGCCCAGTTTGCTTTTGAACTTGTGGGCTTGAGTGATCCTCTCACTTCAGCCCGAATAGCTGGGACCACAGGCGTGCACCACCACATCTGGCTAATTTTTTTATTTTTGTTTTTGTAGAAACAGGGTCTCACTATGTTGCCCAGGTTGGTCTTGAACTCCTGAGCTCAAGCGATCCTCCCATATCAACCTCCCAAAATGCTGGGATTACAGGTGAGAGTCACTGTGCCTGGCCTGCATCTTATTTTTAGTATAAGTATATCCCAAATTTTGCATCGTGCACACTTATGCTGAAAACCGATTACCCCTTTATCTTTTTTTTTTTTTTTTTTGAGATGGAGTCTCCCTCTGTTGCCCAGGCTAGAGTGCAGTGGTGCAATCTTGGCTCACTACAACCTCCACCTCTAGGATTCAAGCGATTCTCCTGCTTCGGCCTCCCAGGTAGCTGGTATTACAAGCATGTGCCACCACGCCTGACTAATTTTTGTATTTTTAGTAGAGATGGGGTTTCACCATGTTGGCCAGGTTGGTCTTGAACTCCTGACCTCAGGTGATCTGCTCGCCTCAGCCTTCCAAAGTGCTGGGATTACAGGTGTGAGCCACTGTGCCCAGCCTGTGTCTTCTATTTTTATTTGGTAAATCCGGTGACCTGATTTAGGGCAGCGGTTCAAGTGGGAGGCATGGGGCCAAGTGGAGGGTGTCCCAGACCCAGCCAGGCCCTGAGGGATGTCTTCCTGAGTGGGCAGGGACCAGCAGGCCCCTCAGCAGGACCCTGGGGATGGAGGCTCAGTTCCCAATTTGAGACTAAGAGGGCCCAGTGCCAGATTCAGTGCCATTCAGGTCCCTCTGTCCTCATATGCGGGGTGACCACCTGTGCTGGGCACTGGGGACATTGTGGGGTTGGTATTGTCCTTACCCTTGCAGGCTCATGGCCTAAACACCTTCCATCTCATGGCTCTGCTATGTGGGGCTTCTGTGCCCAAGGTGACCTCATGGCACAGAACAGCTGCTGGAGCTCCAACCATTGGGTCTACATTCTATGCAGCAGCTTGGAACAGTGCTTTTTTGGTTTTGGGTCAAGTCATGACCCAAAATGTGTGGTGAGAATGATGGGAGAGAGCTCACATGTTCCTCGAGTGTGGGGAAGAGCAGAGGTGGGTGACTGCCCGCCGAGGAGACAATGGTCAAGTCGGGGCGGGAGGGATGTGATGGCGTTGGTAGGAAGGAGATACTAGAAGAACATTTTGGACAGGAGAAACAGCATGTGCTAAGGCCAGTGATGTATCTTGCAAAGAAACAATTCACATTCACACCCTGGTCATTCCCTCATTTGCTGTGTGCCCTTTGGTAAGTGACTGCACCTCCCTGGGCTTCATTCTCTTATATGTAAAATGGAGATAGCAACAATACCTAGCTCATGGGGGCATTGTAAGGATTCAAAGAGTTACTCTATGTAGCACTGGGAATTTTTTTTTCCCCAATAGTGGCTTAAACAAGATAAGGACTTTTTTTTTTTTTCTTTTTCCTCAAACTGAGAGGTGTGGAGGCAGGCAGGCTAGTAAAAGACACCTGAAGTCCTTCCATCTCATGGCTCTGCCATGTGTGGATTCCTGTGTCCAAGAGCCTCATGGCACAGAATGGCCGCTGGAGCTCCAGCCATTGGGTCCACATTCCGGGCAGCAGAATGGAAGTATGTTTTATGTACAGTCAAGTGTACACGCCTTAGGGCAACAGCTCAAAGAGCTAGTCACCCATGTGACTACTTCCTAGATAGATCAGGATACAGGACACCTCCATCACTCACAGAAAGTCCCCTTGTGTGCTTTGGAGCTTTAAAAGCTTTTGAAAAGCTCCCCGGGTAAAGCATATGGGGCCACTTTTGGGTGTGATGGATCCGCTCATTGTCTTGATTGTGGTGAGGGTCTCACGGATGTGTGATTGTGTCAAAGCTCAGCAAACCATATGCTTACATGGTACATGAGCTCTCAGTGAAGGTGTGGCTCAACCTGTATTCCCAGCACTTTGAGAATCCAAGGTGGGAGGATCGCTTGAGGCCAGGAGTTTGAGACCAGCCTGGATAACACAGCAAGACCTTGTCTCTACAAAAATTAAAAAAAAAAAAAAAATTAGCTGGGCATGGTGGCACGTGCGCAAGATCCCAGCTACTGGAGTAGGGCTGAGGTGGGAGGATCACTTGAGCCCAGGAGGTCAAGGCTGCAGCGAGCTGAGATTGCACCACTGCACTCCAGCCTGGGGAACAGAGACCCTGTCTCCAAAAAAAAAAAAAAAACAAAAACCAAAACAAAACAAAAAACGACAAGATAAGCAAAGGAGCCCAGGAGTTCAAGACCAGCCTGAGCAACATGGTAAAACCTCATCTCTACTAAAAATAGAAAAATTAGTCAGGCGTGGTGGTGGGCACCTGTAGTCTCTGTAGTCCCAGCTACTTGGGAGGCTGAGATGGGAGAATCACCTGAGCCCAGGAAGTGGAGGTTGCAGTGAGCTGTGATAGTACCTCTGCACTCCAGCCTGACAACAGAGTGAGACTGTATCAAAACAACAACAACAACAACAACAACAAAACCATCTCTACTAAAAATACAAAAATTAGCCAGGCGTGGTGGCGGGCGCCTGTAGTCGCAGCTACTCGGGAGGCTGAGGCAGGAGAATTGCTTGAACCTGGGAGGCAGAGGTTGCAGTGAGCCGAGATCGTGCCACTGCACTCCAGCCTGGAAACAGAGCAAGACTCCATCTCAAAAATAAAATAAAATAAAATAAAAATAAAGAAGCTCCCTCATCCAGCCAGATGGATGGAAAGAGGCACGGAGGGTGAAGGGTGAATGGAATTTGGTGACAACTTGTCCGGCAGCTCAGGATGACTGTAGGAGCCCCCAGGTGGCTTCCCTGTCTGTTTTGCCCTCCCCAAGCAGGTCTCCTGGGCAGATTCAATTTGCTGGGTTCACTGTCTCCTTGTCCCTGCAGGTCAGGTGGACACCCTGATGAGGAACTTCCTGCCCTGCTACCGCGGGCAGCTGGCAGCATCTATCCTGCGGCAGATCTCCCGAGAGCTGGGCCCTCAGGAGCCGGCTAGAAGCCAGTTGCTACGCAGCAAAGTGGGTGTTGGAGGGGCGGAGGACGTTTGAGTGTGGGGAGAGGGTCCTGGAGAAGCCCTCCCTAGGCCATGCTTCCAACCTCAGACCTTTGCCATTGCCATAGGGTGACTTTAAATATTCATTGTTTGAATAAACATTCACTGAGAAGCCAGGCAAGGTGGCTCACGTCTGTGATTTCAGCACTTTGGGAGGCTGAGGCAGGTGGATCACCAGAGGTCAGGAGTTCAAGACCAGCCTGGCCAACATGGTGAAACCCCAAAACTCCATCTCTACTAAAAATACAAAAAAAAAAAAAAATTAGCCAGACCCTGTGGTGCGCACCTGTAGTCCCAGCTACTCGGGAGGCTGAGGCAGGAGAATCGTTTGAACCTGGGAGGTGGAGGTTGCAGTGAGCCCAGATTGCACCACTGCACTCCAGCCTGGGTGACAGAGCTAGACTCTGTCAAAACACACACACACACACACACACACACACAAAAAAAAAAAAAAAAAAAAAAAAAAAACTTCACTGAGCGTGTAATTCATGCCACATCATGGGCTGGGCATGAGGACACACAGCCCTTGTCCAGTGACAAGGATAGATCTTGCCGTAACCTCTGGGGTTCACAATCTGATGGGAGATAGAAGACTCCAAACAAATTAGCATATCATGATGTGGAATGGAGTAACTTTTTTTTTTTTAGATTGAGTTTTGCTTTGTTGCCCAGGCTGGAGTGCAGTGGCCATCTTAGCCATCTTAGCTCATTGCCACCTCTGCCTCCCAGGTTCAAGCGATTCTCGTGCCTCAGCCTCCCGAGTAGCTGGGACCACAGGCGCCCGCCACCATGCCTGGGTAATTTTTGTATTTTTAGTAGAGATGGGGTTTCACCATGTTGACCAGGCTGGTCTCAAACTCCTGAACTCAAGTGATCTCCCCACCTCAGCCTCCCAAAGTGCTGGGATTACAAGCGTGAGCCACTGCACCTGGCCTCCAGACGTCTCCGGAGCCATGAAGTTGCGTGCCCCACACAACTCACTCAGTGTTCACCCTCTTGGTAGACGGGTCTTTGACCGATGAGGAAACTAAGGCACAGAGAGGCCAAATGGCCTGCCCGAGGTCACACTGCAGAGGTGTGATTTGAACCTGGGATCCATGCTTATTACTAATGCTTGGTCCCACGCTCCAATCCAGGCTGAGATTTTTTGCCTCTCTGGAACGCCCCACCTCCCAGCTGTGCCCACCTAGGGCGGGGGACTCCAGGAGCTGTGGACAGAGAGCCCCTTCCCGCCTGGGACTCTCCCTGTCCATTCTGTGGCATCACGGGACCTGAGCATCACCCCAGGATATAACAGGAGCTGTCTGGGTGGTCGGGCCACAGGGACATCAACCCACAGCCCCCTGACACCCACTGGTCCCTCCTCCTGCAGAAGCTGCCCCAAGTCCGTGAGCACCGAGGACCCCTGACCCAGCTTCGGGGCCACCCACCCCGGTGGCAGCCGATCTTCTGTGTCCTGCGTGGGGACGGCCGCCTGGAGTGGTTCAGCCACAAGGAGGTGCGTGACTGGCACGTGGTCTTTCTGCTTCTGGGCCCTTCCTTCCCACTCCCACCAGCCTCGAGGTTTGTGGGGTCCATCTCTCACCATAGCCACACCTCTATCAATCACCCAGGATGAATCTTGGGCCGCTATGTGTCTGGCCTGTCATAGGCAACCATCTCGTCCCATCCCCTGCTGTGCTGCGTAGGTAAACTGACACCCAGGCCAGGGATAGGATCGTAGTATCAGAGCTGTGGTTTCAACCTCTTGGAGCCTTTGCAAGTCATGCCTCTGACCGCTCTGTTTTCTGGCTGGGGAGCTTGGAGCGATCACTACCTTTCTGAAACTCAGTTTTCACTTCTGTGAAATGGGATGATGATGTTTCACACCACGTAGGGCTTTGAGGGTTCAACAAGAGGGTCTTCAGACAGCACTTGGGACTGGCCCGGCACGTGGGGAGTCAGTGGGTGCTGGGAGCTCAGGGACTGAGGGAGGAAGGGAGGGAAAAGGGAAAGGGGAAAGGGAAGGAGGGAGAGAGAGGGCAGGAACAGGAGGAAGGAAGGGAAGGAGGGAGGAAGGGAGGAAGTTATGGGGACAGAGGGAGGATGGATGGAGAGAGGAGGGAAAAAAAGGGAGGGAGAGCTGGGCCTGGTGGCTTATGCCTGTAATAACAGCCCTTTGGGAGGCTGAGGCGAATGGATCCCTTCAGTCCAGGAGTTCAAGATCAGCCTGGCCAACATGGTGAAACTCCATCTTTACTAAAAATACAAAACCTAGGGCCGGGCACAGTGGCTCATGCCTGTAATCCCAAAACTTTGGGAGGCCGAGGCGGGGTGGATCACCTGAGGTCAAGAGTTCAAGACCAGCTTGGCCAATGTGGCCAAACCCCGTCTCAATTAAAAATACAAAAATTAGCCTGGTGTGGTGATGGGTGCCTGTAATCCCAGCTACTCGGGAGGCTGAGGCAGGAGAATCGCTTGAACCCGGGAGGCGGAGGTTGCAGTGAGCTGAGATCATGCCACTGCACTCCAGCCTGGGCGGCAGAGCGAGACTCTATCTCAAAAACAAAAAAAAGACAGGGAGGAATGGAGGAAAGGAGAGGGAGGGAGGAGTGGGGAGGGGCAGAGGATTTTTCAGCTCATCTGAAATCTTCCCTTGATAGTACAGTTGGGACACAGAAGCCACCGTTCAGACCTGTCCCATGTTGGTTCTCTGGGTGCCTTTTGTAGGAATATGAAAACGGGGGTCACCCCCTTGGCTCCACAGCCCTGACGGGATACACACTCCTGACTTCCCAGCGAGAATATCTCCGCCTTTTAGACGCTCTCTGCCCGGACTCCTTGGGTAAGAGTCCCGGGGTTCCCAGGAGCAGGTTTCTCCGCCCCAGGATCATTAACACGTGGGGCCAGATCATTCTCTGCGGTGGGGGTGTCCCGTGTACAGCAGGGCGTTAAGCAGCATCCCCGGCTTCCACCCCACTCCATGCCAGCAGCAGCCCCCACCCTGGGTGTGACAACCACCAATGTCTCCAGCATTGCCAAGTGTCTCCTGGGGGTCAGCGTTGCCCCGGGTGAGCATCCCCGCTTTGGAAAACAAACAAACAAACACTCTTGCAAGGGTGAGAGGGAGAGTTAGGTCATGGGACCAGAATCGAAATAGCAAATGATAAAAACAGCCAAATCTGGGATGGGTGCAGTGTCTCATGCCTGTAGTCCCAGCTACTCGGGAGGCGGAGGTGGGAGGATCGCTTAAGCCTGGGAAGTGGAGGTGGCAGTGAGCCGAGATTGTCCCACTGCACTCCAGCCTGGGCAATAGAGTGAAACCCCACTTCCAAAAACAATAACAAAAACAATTAAAAACGGCCAGGCGCAGTGGCTTACGCCTGTAATCCCAGCACTTTGGGAGGCTGAGGTGGGCGGATCACGAGGTCAGGGGATCGAGACCATCCTGGCTAACACGGTGAAACCCTGTCTCTACTAAAAATACAAAAACTTAGCCGGGTGTGGTGGCGGGCACCTGTAGTCCTAGCTACTCAGGAGGCTGAGGCAGGAGAATGGCGTGAACCTGGGAGGCGGAGCTTGCAGTGAGCTGAGATCGCACCACTGCACTCCAGCCTGGGCAACAAAGCGAGACTCCGTCTCAAAAAAAAAAACACAATTAAAAACAATAGGCTGGGCACAGTGGCTCATGCCTGTAATCCCACCACTTTGGGAGGCCGAGGCAGGTGAATCACTTGAGGTCAGGAGTTTAAGACTAGCCTGGCCAACATGGTGAAACCTCATCTCTACTGAAAATACAAAAAGTAGCCAGTGTAATGACATGCACCTGTAATCTGAGCACTTTGGGGGACCAAGGAAGGTGGATCACTTGAGGTCACGAGGAGACCTCATGAGGCCAGCCTGACCAACATGGTGAAACCCTGTCTCTACTAAAAATACAAAAGGTAGCCAGGTATGGTGGCGTGAGACTGTAATCCCAGCTACTCAGGAGGCTGAGGCAGGAGAATCGCTTGAACCTAGGAGGCAGAGGTTGCAGTGAGTCCAGATCGTACCACTGCACTCCAGCCTGGGAGACAAAGTGAGACTCTGTCTCAAAAAAATGAAAGGAAAGGAAAGGAAGGGGAGGGGAGGGGAAGGGAGGGGAAGGGAGAGGAAGGGAGGGGAGGGGAGGGGAAGGGAGGTGAGGGGAGGGGAAAGGAGGGATTAGAGAAGGAATAATTCCAGGCATGTGCCTGGCAAGTACTCAGCACTGGGCTTGCACTATCTCATAATGTCTGCCCAGCAGGTGAACCCCATCGCTAACTACCCCATTTCACAGATAAGGACATTGAGGCTGAGGATTGTCACACAGTCAGTCAAGGGCAGAGCTAGAATCGCACCCTCTGCTTCACCTAAAAGCTATCTTGCTGTCAAAGGACACAAAGATGTAGTCTGCTGAGATGTTGATGCTGCTCAAAACATCAGAATCTGCCCAAATACCCATCTCTTGAGGGTTGATTAAATAAATTATGGCCTGGCCCTTGGTAATGAACAGTGAACTGGCTGCGGTGGCATGTGCCTGTAGTCCCAGGTACTTGGGAGGCGGAGACAGGAGGATCCCCTGAGGCCAGGAGTTCTAGATCAGCCTGGGTAACATAGTGAGACCCCCCCCCATCTCCACAAACATTTTAAAAAATAAAATTAGCTAGGTGTGGTGGCACGTGCCTGTAGTCCCAGCTATTCAGAAGGCAGAGGCGGGAAGACCACTTGAGCCCAGGAGTTAGGGGCTACTGTGAGCTATGATCACACCACTAACTCCAGCAGCCTGGGCAACAAAGCCAGGCCCTGTCTCTATTTAATAAATAAATAAATAAATAAATAAATAAATAAATGCCCGGGTGTGGTGGCTCATGCCTGTAATCCCAGTACTTTGGGAGGCCAAGGCGGGCGGATCACCTGAGGTCCCAGCCTGGCCAACAGGGCAAAACCCCGTCTCTACTAAAAATACAAAAATTAGCCGAGCGTGGTGGTGCACGCCTATAATCCCAGCTACTCGGGTGTCTAAGACAGGAGGATTGCTTGAACCTGGGAGGCAGAGGTTATAGTGAGCCAAGATCGCACCACTGCACTCCAGCATGGGAGACAGAGCAAGACTCTGTCAAAAAAAAAAAAAAAAAAAAAAAAAAAAAAAAAAGCCAGGTGGCTCACACTTGCAATCCCAGCACTTTGAGAGGCCAAAGTGGGAGGATCACTTGAGCCTAGGAGTTTGAGGCCACCGTGAGCTATGATCACACCACTGCACTGCAGCCTGGGTGACAGAGGGAGACTCCATCTCTAAAATGAAAATAAATTAAAATTTAAAAACAATAAATAAAAGAAAGCAAAACTTAGCCACTGAAAGTGTCCCAGGTGTATCAAGGAGCGAAGTGGCCAGTTCCAAGGCAGAAAAACCCATCTTGTCACAGATATGCACCTCACTCAGTTTCGTGCAGATTTTATTTATTTATTTATTTATTTTTATTTTTATTTTATTTTATTTTTGAGATGGAGTCTCGCTCTGTCGCCCAGGCTGGAGTGCAGTGGCATGATCTCGGCTCACCGCAAGCTCTGCCTCCCGGGTTCACGCCATTCTCCTGCCTCAGCCTCCCGAGTAGCTGGGACTACAGGTGCCCGCCACCACGCCCAGCTAATTTTTTATATTTTTTTTAGTAGAGACGGGGTTTCACCGTGTTAGCCAGGATGGTCTCGAGCTCCTGCCTTGTGCAGATTTTAGAATCTGGAGAAATGTCTCCTAAGCTATTAACAGTCATTATCGTCTCTGGGGGCTGAGGCTCGAAGGCTGAGATGACCAGGAGCTTCTACCTTCTGGATTATTGATTTTTTCTTTTCTTTTCTTCTTCTTCTTCTTTTTGTTTTTTTTTCTTCCTTTTTTTTGAGACAGAGTCTTGCCCTGTCACCCAGGCTGGAGTGCAGAGTGTGATCTCTGCTCACTGCAACCTCCCCCTCCCAGGCTCAAGTGATTCTCCTGCCTCAGCCTCCTGAGTAGCTGAGACTATAGGCACCCACCACCATACCCTGCTAATTCTTGTGTTTTAGTAGAGACAGGGTTTCACCACGTTGGCCAGGCTGGTCTCGAACTCCTGACCTGAAGTGATCCCCCTGCCTCGGACTCCCAAAGTGCTGGGATTACAGGCAGGAGCCACCTCACCCGGCCTGGATTGTTGGGTTTTATCACAGTCTGTGTATATCATCCTGGAAAGTGGAACAAAACATTGGAGACTTAGGAGACCCTAAATATTTCTTTTCATTTATTTATGTTTTTAATAAAAAATACCTGTGCAGGCTGGTTTGGAACTCCCGGGCCCAAGGGATCCTCCCACTTCGGCCTCCCAAGGTGCTGGGATTACAGGCATGAGCCACCGCAGCTGGCCCCCAAATAAATTAACCAAAGCTGAATTCACTTATTTTGTCTCGTCAATAATTCTAGGTCATCGGTATTACTGTTAACCCCATTTGGGCAGGAAAATCACAGCTCATGGAAACGTGTGCCCTAGTCGTAGAGCTAGAAAGTAGCTTGGCCAGGCTGGGCACAGTGGCTCACACCTGTAATCCCAGCACTTTGGGAGGCTGAGGCGGGCAGATCGCTTGAGCTCAGGAGTTCTAGACGAGTCTGGGTGACATAGTGAGACCCTGTCCCTTTTGTTAAAAAAAAGAAAGAAAGAAAATGAAAGTGGTTTGGTCAGGTTGGAACTCGGGCCTGACTGACTCCAAAACCCCACTTAAAGCTGGGCTCAGGCCAGGCGCGGTGGCTAAAGCCTGTAATCCCAGCACTTTGGGAGGCCGAGACGGGTGGATCACGAGGTCAGGAGATCGAGACCATCCTGGCTAACACGGTGAAACCCCATCTCTACTAAAAAATACAAAAAACTAGCCGGGCGAGGTGGCGGGCGCCTATAGTCCCAGCTACTCGGGAGGCTGAGGCAGGAGAATGGCATCAACCCAGGAGGCAGAGCTTGCAGTGAGCTGAGATCCGGCCACTGCACTCCAGCCTGGGCAACAGAGCGAGACTCCGTCTCAAAAAAAAAAAGAATGCTGAGGCTGGAAAACAATGCTGGGATGGATTGGTGATGTCTGCCTTGGGAATACAATGGAAGAAGGTGACCCTGATTCCGGCCGGGCGCGGTGGCTCAAGCCTGTAATCCCAGCACTTTGGGAGGCCGAGACGGGCGGATCACGAGGTCAGGAGATCGAGACCATCCTGGCTAACACAATGAAACCCCGTCTCTACTAAAAATACAAAAAAAAAATTAGCCGGGCGAGGTGGTGGGCGCCTGTAGTCCCAGCTATTCGGGAGGCTGAGGCAGAAGAATGGCGTAAACCCGGGAGGCGGAGCTTGCAGTGAGCCGAGATAGCGCCACTGCACTCCAGCCTGGGCGACAGAGCGAGACTCCGTCTCAAAAAAAAAAAAAAAAAAAAAAAAAGAAGGTGACCCTGATTCCCCGAAAACTGTGCCCCGCCCAGTGCTGTTGGAATAAGGATGGGGGCAAGTATCATGGTGCAGCTCCTATTTATCAAGCAACTGCCCATGCCAGGGACAGTTGTATGCATTTCAGGGGTATTTTCTCCTAGTGAATGAACATCTAGAAGATGCGACCTCCTGTTTGTTTTCAGGAGACCATACTCAGGAAGAGCCTGACTCCCTCTTGGAAGTGCCTGTGAGCTTCCCGCTGTTCCTGCAGCACCCCTTCCGCCGGCACCTCTGCTTCTCTGCAGCCACCAGGGAGGCACAGCATGCCTGGAGGCTGGCCCTGCAGGGTGGCATCCGGCTTCGGGGCACAGGTGGGTCTCAGGACGGGTCAGACATTTGTGAGGCTAATGGTCTGGGGTCAGACAGCTCAGCCTCTGTTGGCTTGGGACCTCTTCAGGCCTCACTTTCCTTACCCAGAAAATGGATTGTTAGGCCAGGTGTGGTGGTTCATGCCTGTAATTCTAGCACTTTGGGAGGCCAAGGCAGGCAGATCACCCGATGTCAGGAGTTCTAGACAAGCCTGGACAACATGGCAGAATCCTGTCTCTACTAAAAATACAAAAATTAGCTGGGCATGGTGGAAGGCACCTGTAATCCCAGCCACCTGGGAGGCTGAGGCAGGAGAATCACTTGAACCTGGGAAGTGGAGACTGCAGTGAGCCAAGATCGCGCCACTGCACTCCAGCCTGGGCGACAAGAGCAAAACTCCATCACACACACACACACACACACACACACGCACACACACACACAGACAGAAAGAAAAGAAAATGGGTTGTTGGCGGAGCCGGAAGGAACACCAGGCAGTTGTGAGTGACTAGGGCTGTTAACAGAGACACACAGGGTTCTATGGGAGCTCAGCCTGGGGGATGGGGGTTAGAGCAGGCTTCCCAGATGAGGGGAAGCTGAGGTCTGTAAAAGATGAGGGGCCAGCCGCCGGGCACGGTGGCTCATGCCTGTAATCCCAGCACTTTGAGAGGCTGAGGTGGGAGTATCACGAGGTCAAGAGATCGAGACCATCCTGGCTAACATGGTGAAACTCCGTCTCTACTAAAAATACAAAAAATTAGCCAGGCATGCTGGCAGGTGCCTGTAGTCCCAGCTACTCGGGAGGCTGAGGCAGGAGAATGGTGTGAACCCAGGAGGCAGAGAGCTTGTAGTGAGCCGAGATTGCGCCACTGCACTCCAGCCTGGGTGACAGAGCGAGACTCTGTCTCAAAAAAAAAAAAGAAAAAAAAAAAAAGATGAAGGGCCAGCCAAGTGAAGACGGGGAATAGGTCAGGCATAGTGGCTCACGCCTGTAATCCCAACTTCCAACTTGACACCAAGAGTTCAAGACCAGCCTAGGCAACATGGCAAAACTCCATCTCTACAAAAAATACAAAAATTATCTGGGCATGGTAGCATGCACTTGTAGTCTCAGCTACTCAGGAGGCTGAGGTGAGAGGATCACTTGAGCCTCGGACTTGGAGGCTGCAGTGAGCTATGATCATGCTACCGCACTTCAGCCTGAGCAACAGAGAGACCCCCCATTTGAGAGAGAGAGAGAGAGAGAAGAAAACAAAGAAAAAGAAATGAAGGAAGGAAAAAGAAAAGAAAGAGAAGGAAAAGCAAGAAAGAGAGAGAGGAAGGAAGAAAGGAAGGGAAAGAGAAAGAAAAATGTAGGACTGACACACACAATTGGGCAGGTTGTTGACCTCACAAACGATGCAACTAGAGGAGCAGCTAGTGGCTGCAGTATGTATGGCCTGAACTGCAGGTCAAGGGACTGTGGCTGCCAGTAGAGGATTCCTTCTAAGTTGAATAAAGTTGGTGGTCCTGGGGGAATGTGTTCCCTGTGGACGGCACTGCCTACGCAAAGTTCCAGAGATGGGTAAGACTTGGGTGTTGGGGACCTGGCCAGGCAGAGAGCTTCCTCCCCGGGCCATGGGGAGCCAGGCAGGGAAGCCAGGCAGGGGAGCTACCAGCAGGCACTGAGGAGCAGCCCCTCTCAGTCCTGCAGCGAAGCCAGGCCCCTGCTGCCCGGGCCTTCCTGGACGCCGTCCGACTCTACCGGCAGCACCAAGGCCACTTTGGCGACGACGACGTGACCCTAGGCTCAGACGCCGAGGTTAGTGCCCCGCGAGGCCGCACCCGGGACCCCCAGGCCCCCTCCCGGCCGAACGCGGCGCCCATGGCCCCCTCTCCCGCAGGTGCTGACCGCGGTGCTGATGCGGGAGCAACTTCCCGCGCTGCGAGCCCAGACCCTTCCTGGCCTCCGGGGATCAGGCCGCGCCCGTGCCTGGGCCTGGACCGAGGTTTGCCCTGCGTCCGGACCTGGGACAGGGGGCGGGATCCGGGCGCTCGGGTTCCCCTCCCACGACTGTCGCCTAAACTCTCTCCTGGTCTCTCTGACCCCCATCCCCGCCCCGTGTCTCGGCTCTGTCCCGCACTCCTGTCCTGCGTGGGGTCCCCTCGACCGGTCTGGGCAGCTTCTAGACGCCGTTCACGCAGCTGTCCTGGCCGGGGCCTCCGCCGGGCTCCGCGCCTTCCAGCCGGAAAAGGACGAGCTGCTTGCATCCCTGGAGAAGGCGATCCGCCCAGACATGGACCAGCTACTGAGGCAGCGGGCGCGTGTGGCGGGGCGACTGCGGAGTGAGACCCGGGGGCGGGACCTGGGCTGGGAGGGGCGAGGCAATGCTGGGGAAAAAGGGGCGTGACCTAAGCGAATAATGGGCTAGGCCTTGTGTGAAATAAGGGGCGTGGTCAGAGAGGAGCTGGGCCAAGCATAGGATGTGGAAGGGAAAGGGGGGGAAGGGGCGGGACCTAGGCGAGACAGTGGGCGTGGTCTTTGTGGGCGAGGCGCTGGGGGCGGGGCCTAGAGTCTATCCCGAGGACACCAGGTCCTGAGGGGGCTGCGTGGATACAAAAAGGGAGGGGCCTCAGCGGGGGATAGGCGTGGCCTTGAGGCTGAGGCTGCAAGAGTTGAGGCCCTAAGCCGGGCCAAAGCGAGTGGGCTGGCCTGGGAAGTAGAACAGCGGAGGAGGGGCAGGGGTAAAGGCTGATACATGGGCAGGGTGGGCCAAGGTGGCCCCTACAAAGACCCAGGTGGGAATCCTGACTCGGCCCGCCCCTCCGAGGCTGTTTTCTCATCATCACAATGGGTAGAAGAGGGCGCTCAGCGTCCCTGCTCGCGTCCCCCTCGCCCTACTGAACTAGGGCCCCTGCACATCCCCATCTGTGAGGCACCTTGCGGAGGGGACTCCAGACCAGTGTCTTCCACTCCCAGCGGATATCAGGGGACCGCTCGAGTCGTGCCTGCGCCGGGAGGTGGACCCGCAGCTGCCCCGGGTCGTGCAGACCCTGCTGCGCACCGTGGAAGCGTCGCTCGAGGCGGTGCGGACCCTCCTGGCTCAAGGCATGGACCGACTGTCCCGCCGCCTGCGCCAGAGCTCCTCGGGCACGCGGCTGCGCAGGGAGGTGAGCTCCCGTGGGTAGGGGTTCAGTGAGCCAGAGGGTGATGTGTTAATTTGAGTCTTTCTTGAGTCTTTCCTGTTGAAAATCTTCTCTGAATTTGTTCTAGGCTGCTTTTTACTTATTGTGGACCCATCGCCATGCTATGGTCACTGGAGCACAGTTGTTTGTTTTTTGTTTTTGAGACAGGGTGTCGCTCTATCACCTTGGCTGGAGTGCAGTGGCACAATCTTTTTTTTTTTTTTTTTTTTTTTTTGAGGCGGAGTCTCGCTCTGTCCCCCTGGCTGGAGTGCAGTGGCGGGATCTCGGCTCACTGCAAGCTCCGCCTCCCGGGTTCCCGCCATTCTCCTACCTCAGCCTCCCGAGTAGCTGGGACTACAGGCGCCCGCCACCGTGCCCGGCTAATTTTTTGTATTCTTAGTAGAGACAGGGTTTCACCGTGGTCTCGATCTCCTGACCTTGTGATCCGCCCGCCTCGGCCTCCCAAAGTGCTGGGATTACAGGCGTGAGCCACCACGCCCAGCCAACAGTGGCACAATCTTAGCTCACTCTAGCCTTGACCTCCTGGGCTTAATCGATTCTCTTTTTTTTTTTTTTTTTTTTTTTGAGACGGAGTCTCGCTCTGTCGCCCAGGCTGGAGTGCAGTGGCCGGATCTCAGCTCACTGCAAGCTCCGCCTCCCGGGTTCACGCCATTCTCCGGCCTCAGCCTCCCGAGTAGCTGGGACTACAGGCGCCCGCCACCTCGCCCGGCTAGTTTTTTGTATTTCTTAATAGAGACGGAGTTTCACCGTGTTAGCCAGGATGGTTTCGATCTCCTGACCTCGTGATCCGCCCGTCTCGGCCTCCCAAAGTGCTGGGATTACAGGCTTGAGCCACCACGCCGGGCCAATCGATTCTCTTACCTTAGCCTCCCAAGTAGCTGGAAATACAGGTCCCGGCCACCATGCCCAGCTAATTTTTAAATTTTTTTGTAGAGATGGGGGTCTTGCTTTGTTGCCCAGGCTGGTCTCAAACTCCTGGGCTCAAACGATCTGCCTGTCTTGGCCTCCCAAAGTGCTGGGATTAAGGTGTGAGCCACAACACTGGCCGTGGAGCACAGTTTAAAACGTGAGGTGAAAGGAGTTGGATGAGAAGAGTGGCAATTTAGCAAAATCAGTCTGAGGTCATCCCCCCAAACTCCTCCTCCCATTCCCCTGCAGGGCAACAACCCAGAGAATTCTGTTCAAGGCAGGTCACTTCAGTGCATCTGATATACATGTAGCACCTGAAATACATACATACATACAGTAGCACCTACTATGTGCCAGGCAGCCTTCAACTCATTCTTAAGCCTCCATTTCCTAATCACTTTCTCCAAGAACTGTCCCTGGTCCCCTCTATGTCTTATAGTAGCCTGTGCTTCTCCTATCACAGCCTCACTTTCATACAACTGTGGGTGATTTCTTTTTTTTTTTTTTTTTGAGACGGAATCTCGCTTTGTCGCCCAGGCTGGAGTGCAGTGGCCGGATCTCAGCTCACTGCAAGCTCCGCCTCCCGGGTTAATGCCATTCTCCTGCCTCAGCCTCCTGAGTAGCCGGGACTACAGGCGTCCGCCGCCACACCTGGCTAATTTTTTTTTTTTTTTTTTTTTTTTTTTTTTTTTTTAGTAGAGACGGGGTTTCACCATGTTAGCCAGGATGGTCTTGATCTCCTGACCTCGTGATCCGCCCGTCTCGGCCTCCCAAAATGCAGGGATTACACGCCCAGCCACTGTGGGTGATTTCTATACTCTGTCTCCCCTAATTTGTAAGCAGAGACTGGGTTAGAGTATTCCATATCTGCAGCCCCAGGGCCCAGCACAGAGAGAACATGAGGTGGTATTCATAGATCCAGAGCCAGGAAATGTGCTCATTTCCTCTCAATTGTGCCAGCATCGCTTGTTATAGCTTTTTAGGTTTTATCATTTTATGTCCATGACACCATGCCTCACTGCAACTTATTTTACTTTATTTTATTTTATTTTATTTTAGAGACAGAGTCTTATTCTGTCGCCCAGGCTGAAGTGCAGTGGTGTGATCTTGGCTCACTGCAACCTCCCAGGTTCAAGCGATTCTCATGCTTCAGCCTCCTGAGTAGCTGGGAGTACAGGTGTACACCACCACACCTGGCTAATTTTTGTATTTTTAGTAGAGATGGGGTTTCACCATGTTGGCCAGGCTGGTATCGAACTCCTGACCTCAAGTGATCCACCTGCCTCGCCTCCCAAAGTGATGGGATTACAGGTATGAGCCACCACGCCTGGCCCACCGCTACTTTATTATGAGTTTCTTTGGTGACAACTGAGGTGGAATGTGTTTTCATTTGTATTTCTCCTTTGGTGAATAGGCTATGGGGTCCTTGGCCCTTTGCAATCAGCTGACGGCATTTTCCTCCCAAAACTGCTTCCGGGAGCACAGGTTTACTCATTTGGAGAGATGCCATGGGACTTGGCACTGATGCAGACATGCTACCGTGAGGCCGAACGGAGCCACGGGCGCTTGGGGCAGCTGGCAGCACCGTTTGGCTTTCTGGGGATGCAGAGCCTCGTGTTTGGGGCCCAAGATCTTGCACAGCAGGTGAGGGTGAGCAGGAGGCTGGGAGGAGGCCAGGCTGTGAAGACAGCCTCCACTGAACCCCTGCTAAATGTGTCCTAGAGAGACCACAGTGATTGAGACAACTCGGTGGGGCTGCCAGTCTCATGGGGACATGAGCCCGTGACCAGGCAGCAGCCACATGTGGTGGACAGAGCTGGGGCGGGACTACAGAGAGAGCCAAGGATGTTCCTGATCCATCTCTGGGGTTGACAGGACTTTCAGGAGGAGGGGACTTCCAACATGGGACAGCAGTGGGAGGAATGGGGCTGCCACCAGTCCCAAGTGAATAGTGTTGAGAGCGCTTGTCTGCATTTGGAGAACGTGGAGCAATTTTTCAGAAATGGGAAGATAGGCCGATGAGATGGATGGGCAGATGGCACAGTGCCTTGAGTGTGGGGCTAAGGGGTGAGCTCTTTCCTGAGGGCAATGGGGAGCCAGAGCAGGTATATGAGCAGGGGGAGGGCATGGCTGGATTTAAGGTTTAGGAAGCTCTGCTTGCCATAGGGAGCACAGGCTGTTGGGGGCAGGAATAGAGGAGGCAGGGGGGAGGCCTGCACCAGGATGGGGGATGTCAGTGGGGAGAAGCAAGAAGTGTTTTGAAGTCTGAGGTGGGACCTGCTATTGGACATGGTGACAGAAGAAGACAGAGAGTGAGATGATCTAGTACCACCTGGCACAGTTGTTCAGTTTGTGCACTGCACAAAAGTGCTCAACAGAGGAGGCTGAACTCTGGCTGGCTCTCTGGTCTCCATTCTAGGCACCCTGGCACCATCCCCCAGAGGGAGGGGGCTTTCTACCCTTTTGCACATAGTCCCCCACAGACTAGACAATCCCCAGGTCCTGAGAGGAGGGGAAAGGTGTTTCCTGGGACAAGGAGGAGGAGGTTGGACAGAGGTGGCTGGTTGGGGCAGGCTGGATGCTGAGAAGGGGTCAGCTGGGCTGGAGTGGGGCCCAGGAGGCTGGAGCACAGATTCTGGGGTCATCACGGCATCTCCTCCTACAGCTCATAGCTGACGCTGTGGCCACCTTCCTGCAGCTGGCTGACCAGTGTCTGACCATGGCCCTCAACTGTGACCAGGCTGCCCAGAGGCTGGAGAGAGTCAGGGGGCGCGTGCTGAAGGTGCGATCTGTGGGTACGGGGTGGCACGGAGTGGCAGTGGGCCTGGGTGCTCAGATGGTTGAACACTGAACAGAGGCGCCGCTGGGTATGTTGTGCAGAAATTCGAATCGGACAGCGGGTTGGCGCAGAGGAGGTTCATCCAAGGCTGGGGTCTCTGCATCTTTTTACCTTTTGTGCTGAGCCAACTCGAGCCAAGCTGCAAAAAGGTGAGTTAATGGGAAGCGTGCAGGTGGGTCTGACAGCATCACCATGCATCCACGTAAAGTGGGCAAGAATTCTCTTTGAGGCCGGGCGCGGTGGCTCACGCCTGTAATCCCAACACTTTGGGAGGCCAAGGAGGGCGGATCACAAGGTCAGGAGTTCGAGACTAGCCTGGCCAACATAGTGAAACCCCGTCTCTACTAAAAATACGAAAAATTAGCCGGGCGTGATGGCGGGCACCTGTAATTCCAGCTACTCAGTAGGCTGAGGCAGGAAAATCACTTGAACCTGGGACGGGGAGGTTGTAATGCGCCAAGATCATGACACTGCACTCCAACCTGGGTGACGGAGTGAAACTCTGTGTCAAAAAAAAAAAAAAAAGAAAAAAGAAAAAAAAGAATACTCTTTGATCATTGGAGACCATTTGACCAGGTGCCATGGCTCACGCCTTAATCCCAGCACTCTGGAAGGCCAAAGTAGGGGGATTGCTTGAGGCCAGGAGATCAGTCTGGACAACACAGTGAAATTCCATCTCTATAAAAATACAGAAGTTAGCCAGGCCTGGTGGCATGTGCCTGTGGTCCCAATTACTCCGGAGGCCAAGAGGTGGGAGGATCAATTGAGCCTAGGAAGTTGAGGCTGCAGTGAGCTAGGATCGCACCACTGTACTCCAGCCTGGGCAACAGAGCAAGGGCCTGTCTCAAAAAACGGGACTTCCACACCTTGAGCCCTGGAGCTGGGTCAGGTGGCTTTTCTGGGCTGCCACGATGCCCTCTGCTTTATCTATGACGGGGCTCATTACCCTGTGTCTGCCACGGAAGAGCTGGGATGGGTCCCATACATCACATATCACCAGGTGACATGGGCATCAGTGGAGGGAGGAGGCAGATGGAGAGTGTGGATAAGAGTTGGGTAGGGAGTTACCAGAGGGTTAGGAAGGCTCTCCCTGTGAAATGAAGGCACGGGCCATGTCCTGGGAAGGGCATTCCAGGCAGAGGGCATAGCATGTGCAAAGGCCCTGAGGCCTGACCGTGCCTGGTGTTTTGGAGGAACAGTGACAAGGTGGGTGTGGCTGAAGCTCAGTGAGTGGGAGAGTGTGAAGGAGGTCAGGGGGAGTTCTAGGTACCTGGGCACACAGGGCTCATGGGCACCAGGTGGGTGTCTGACATGGGCACAAACAGAATCCTCTAGAGGAAGTGGCTGGGAGTTGGGGAAGTCCCAGTTGAGACACTCATACTATTCCCTGTGAGGTGTGATTTGCTGCGCCTAATTAATCCCATGAATCCTTTCCACAATGCTAGAGAATATGGGCCACTGAGTCCATTTCAACGATAAGGAAACTGAGGCCAGGCGTGGTGGCACATGCCTGTAATACCAGCACTTTGGGATAGCGAGACCCCATCTCTACAAAAAATACAAGAATTCGCCGGGTGTAGTGGTGCACGCCTGTAGTCCCAGCTACTTGGGAGGCTGAGGTGGGAGGATCGATTGAGCCTGGGAGGTCGAGGCTGCAGTGAGCTGTGACTGCGCCACTGCACTCCAGCCTGGGTGACAGAGCGAGACTAATCATTTCATTTCATTTCATTTCATTTCGACAGAGTCTTGCTCTGTCATCCAGGCTGGAGTGCAGTGGTGTGATCTTGGCTCACTGCAACCTCCGCCTCCCAGGTTCAAGCGATTCTCCGGTCTCAGCCTCCCAAGTAGCTGAGATTACAGTCACCCGCCACCACGCCTAGTTAATTTTTGTGTTTTTAGTAGAGACGGGGTTTCACCATGTTGGTCAGGCTGGTCTTGAACTCCTGACCTCATGATCTGCCCGCCTCAGCCAACCAAAATGCTGGGATTACAGGCGTGAGCCACCGCGCCCGGCCTGTTTATTTTTAAAATAAAAAAAAAAAATTAAAAATAAAGATAAGGAAACTGAGGCCCAACCCCTGCCCACAACCCCACAGCTAATCGGGCCCAGGGCTAGGGCAGAAGCCTGTGTTGTAGGCCTCTAGAGGGGCCCTCCTCTCCAGCCGAGCCCCTAACCCAACATGGTTCCAGGAGCTGCCTGAGTTCGAGGGGGATGTCCTTGCCATGGGCAGCCAGGCTCTGACCACTGAGGGCATCTATGAGGACGTCATCCGGGGGTGCTTGCTGCAGAGGATTGACCGAGGTGAGTCCTGCCCTGCCGTGGCTCAGAGGAGTCTGGCGTCCCCTGCCTGTATGTACTGAGCCCCACCAGGGCCCCATAGACTCTCACTTCCTGTGACTACTTGCCATTTGACCTTAAGTCAGGACTTGGCCAGAGGGGGTCCAGGGTAGAGGAGCTCAGAAGGGCAGGGATGGATACTCTCTGAAGGAAGGGCCATTGGATTGGGGCTGTGAGGGATGTATAGGAGTTCTCAGGATGAGAAGAAGGAGGCAGAGTTCAAAAACTACCAATACAGGCTGCGTGTGGCGGCTCACACCTGTAATCCCAGCACTTTGGGAGGCTGAGGTGGGCAGATCACTTGAGGTCAGGAGTTTGAGACCAGCCTGCCCAATATGGTGAAACCCCATCTCTACTAAAAATATAAAAAATTAGCCGGGCATGATGGCACACACTTGTAGTCCCAGTTGCTCGGGAGGCTAAGGCAAGAGAATCGCTTGAACCCAGGAGGTGGAGGTTGCAATGAGCCAAGATTGCGCCACTGCACTGCAGCCTGGCGACACAGCGAGACTATGTCTTTTTTTTTTTTTTTTTTTGAGACAGAGTCTCGCTCTGTTGCCCAGGCTGGAGTGCAGTGGAATGATCTTGGCTCACTGCAACCTCTGACGCCTGAGTTCAAGCGATTCTCCTGCCTCAGCCTCCCGAGTAGCTGGGACTACAGGCATATGCCACCACGCCCAGCTAATTTTTGTATTTTTAGTAGAGATGGGATTTCACCATGTTGGTCAGGCTGGTCTCAAACTCCTGACCTTGTGATCCTCCCCCCTCAGCCTCCCAAAGTGCTGGGATTACAGGCGTGAGCCACTGCGCTTGGCCGAGACTCCATCTTTTATTTTTTATTTTACTTTTGAGACGGAGTCTCACTCTGTCACCCAAGCAGGAGTGCAATGGTGTGGTCTCGGTTCACTGCAACTTCTACCTCCTGGGTTCAAGCCATTCTCCTGCCTCAGCCTCCGAGTAGCTGGGACTACAGGTGCATGCCACCACACCTGGCTAATTTTTGTATTTTTAGCAGAGACGGGGTTTCACTATGTTGGCTGGGCTGGTCTCGAACTCCTGACCTCGTGATCTGCCTGCCTCAGCCTCTCAAAGTGCTGGGATTACCAGCATGAGAGACTCCATCTTAAAACCAACAAACTACGGATAGACATTTAAATTTATTCATTTAACAACCACTCCCTGTTTTTCTCTGGGCTGGCATTGAGGCCCTAGAGGTTTACAGAATTGGAGTTGGCCTCTTAGGAGCTCCTGAGCTGGGAAGGAGCTTCAGAAACATCTTTCTCCCTCCTGCTTCCTGAGTTCATTCATGAATTACTTAATGCCCATGATCACTGAGATGTGCACTGATTGGGGGGTGAACGGGATGCAGTGGGGATTCAGGGAATGTCAGCATCCATGCAGCCAGCACAAGGGCACGGAGTGGGAGGCTGGAGGCTTCTGGAAGATGTGCAGGGCTTTGAATGACAGGCAGAAGAATTTAGATTTATTGTGCAGGCAATGGGGAGCCATGGAGGGTGTGTGAGCAGAGGTCAACAGAAGCCAGACTGGAAGTGAGGGAGGAGGCTGAGGCCCCGGTTCTGGGAACAAGCGACAGGCCAGAGCAGGGGCAGCAGCCAAAGGGACAGAGACTAGGAGGGAGGTGGAGGTGGGAGCTGGAGGTGTCAGAGGTGTTGGGCTTCAGGTGTCACTAAGTGAAGGTGAGGGGGCCACAAGCCAAGGAAGGTGTGTGGAGAACAGAAAGGAATCTCAAAGAGCCCTCATTTGAAGGAAAGAAGAAGAACAGACATAGAAGGTGAGGTCAGCAGCTGGGCACGGTGGCTTACGCCCATAATCCCAGCACTTTGGGAGGTCGAGGCAGGTGGATCACTGGAGGTCAGGAGTTTGAGACCAGCTTGGCCAACATGGTGAGACCCTGTCTCTACTATAAATACAAAAATTAGCTGGGTGTGGTGGCGCATGCCTGTAGTCCCAGCTACTCGGGAGGCTGAGGCAGGAGAATTGCATGAACCTGGGAGGCAGAGGTTGCAGTGAGCCAACATCGCACCACTGCACTCCAGCCTGGGCAACAGAGCTAGACTCTGTCTCAAAAAAAAAAAAAAAATTTAAATAGGTGAGATCAGCCAGGCGCGGTGGCTCATGCCTGTAATCCCAGCACTTTGGGAGGCCAAGGTGGGCGGATTATGAGGTTAGGAGATCAAGACCATCCTGGCTAACACAGTGAAACTCCGTCTCTACTAAAAATACAAAAAATTAGCTGGGCGTGGTGGAGGGCACCTGTAGTCCCAGCTACTCGGCAGGCTGAGGCAGGAGAATGGCATGAACCCAGGAGGCGGAGCTTGCAGTGAGCTGAGATTGCGCCACTGAACTCCAACCTGCGCGACACAGCGAGACTCCATCTCGAAAAAAAAAAAAAGATGAGGTCAGAGAGTTGGGAGACACCCCCATAGATGGTGGGTTCTTGGGAGCCAGGGAATGAGGGAGAGGATGTGTCTATGAGCATCCAAACAAGAAAAACAGAGCTTCCTTAAAATAGTAGAAGTTTTAAATAGGAAAAAGAAACCTATTTTCTGACTGCAGAATTCAATCCAGAAACAGGTGACCTCAATGAGTTTCTCTTCCTAGAGATTTTATGTGTCCTTAAGTGGGTCCATCCTGATACTGATTTGTGATGTCTGCCTAGAGCAGCATGTTGGGAGGTGGGACTGGCAGTGTCTAGGCTTGGTGAAGGGTGCAGGGATCGGTTAGCAATGTCTGCCATGGGTGTGGGCTTGAAGAGAGGGTCTATGTGAGCCACCTGTTTAGGATTTCTGCTTGAGACATTCATAGTCTCTCTGGGAAAATGCACGGAAGCCCCTTGATGCCTGGGATTCCCCAGGTATGTCCAAGAGTTCATCTCATTTCAGAACTGAAAAAGACCCTTGGTGCCAATGATGTATCCTGCACTCTGGACGGCTGCTTGGAGGTCCCATGGGAACAGGAGGGAGCAGGTGGGGAACTCCACAGGCTTCTGAAACATGCCAGTGATGGCTGGGGGTGGGAGGTGGGGGCCCACATGGGGTGTATGGGATTGTCGTGCATGTGGGTTCATGGATGGAACAGAATATACCTCATCTCCTTAACCAGCCAGGCTGGCCAAGCTTGTGAACAAATGCAGTGGGAAGTTGTGGAGTGTGTCTGAGCTACAGAGGAACCCTCTAAACCCAGGCTGTGACATGCATGTGAGCTCAGCCCTTGGGAGCTGAGATTGTGGTGAATTTGTGTCCCATCTCTCTTCTCTCTCTCTCTCTCTCTTTTTTTTTTTTTTTTTGGGACAGAGTCTAGCTCTGTCGCCCAGGCTGGAATGCATAATCTCAGCTCACTGCAACCTCCTCCTCCCAGGTTCAAGTGAATCTCCTGCCTCAGCCTCCAGAGTAGCTGGGACTACAGGCACATGCCACCATGCCCGGCTAATTTTTGTATTTTTAGTAGAGACGCGGTTTCACCATTTTGGCCAGGCTGGTCTCAAACTCCTGACCTCAGGTGATCTGACTGCCTCAGCCTCCCAAAGTGCTGGGATTACAGATGTGAGCCACCACACCCAGCTTCTGTATCCCATCTAATCCCAGGATTTAGGGGGCATCTCCCAATGGCTACTTCCTGTTGCCAACTTGGAAAGGGAGATTGTAGTGATGGGAGCCTTAGGTTTACCACCAGCAAGAGCCTGTAAGATGAGCATAATTTGGGGGACAATTTTTTTATGCAGCAATAGCTAACTAATATACTTCCTAGCTGATCTGGGACAGAGAAACTCATTGATATTTACACTAACTTGGATAAATAGTTAAACAGTCCTAGAAACACTTCTTTTTTTTTTTTTTTTTTTTTTTTTGGTGAGACAGAATCTCACTCTGTTTCCCAGGGTGAAGTGCAGTGGCACAATCTCAGCTCACTGCAGCCTCCCCCTTGGGGTTCCAGTGATTCTCCCACCTCAGCCTACAGAGTAGCTAGGATTACAGGCACTTGCAACCACGCCTGGCTAATTTTTGTATTTTTAGTAGAGATGGGGTTTCACCATGTTAGCCAGGCTGGGCTTGAACTCCTGACCTGAAGTGATCCACCCACCTCGGCCTCCCAAAGTGCTGGGATTACAGGCGTGAGCCACCGTGCCCAGCCCAGTCCTAGAAAGACTTCTAAGGCCGGGCACAGTGGCTCATACCCGTAATCCCAGCACTCTGGGAGGCCAAGATAGGTGGATTGCTTGAGCCTAGGAGTTTGAGACCAGCCTGGACAACATAGCAAGACCCCATCTCTACAAATATTTTAAAAATTAGTTGGGTGTAGTGGAATGCACCTGTAGTTCTAGCTACTCAGGAGGCCAAGGTGGGAGGATTGCTTGAGCCCTGGAGATGGAGGCGGCATTGAGCTATGACGGCACCACTGCCCTCTAGCCTGGGCCACAGAGAGAGACCCTGTCTCAAAAAAACAAACAAATACAAACTTCTGAGTGTCAGAATATTTAAGGATTTGCAATTGGATGTGAGGGATTGTAGATGGGTTCCTGAATCTAACCAGAACCAACGGGCATTTGGTTTCTAGTCTTCCATACTAACAGCCAGTGCCGCAGGGGATAATCTTGTATATACTTGTTTTTGTTTTGTTTTGGTTTTGTTTTGTTTTGTTTTTGCAAGTGCAGGTTCCTGTGGGCAAATCCCGCAATGGGAAACCTCAGAATTTAAAGTATATGTGTTTGTCACTTCAACAGAGGGCTGTCCACCAGGGTAGCCTCACCTGGTGCCCCTCACCTTTGTCCGGGAGGTTTAGGAGCTGCTTTTAGCTCCTTTTCCGAGAACTTTCCTTCCTATCCTTCATCCTTTCATCTTTTGACTGCTTACACATTTCTTTTTCTTTCTTTTTTTCTTTTTCTTTTTCAAGACAGAGTCTCGCTCTGTCGCCAGGCTGGAGTGCAGTGACAGCATCTTGGCTCACTGTAACCTTCACCTTGTAGGTTCAAGTGATTCTCCTGCCTCAGCCTCCCCAATAGCTGGGATTACAGGCGTCCACCACCACGCCTGGCTAATTTTTGTATTTTTAGTAGTTTCACCATGTTGGCCAGGCTGGTTTCAAACTCCTGACCTCAGGTGATCTGCCTGCCTCGGCTTCCCAAAGGGCTGGGGTTACAGGCGTAAGCCACTGCGCCCAGCCTACATTTCTTTATTTTTATTTTTATTTTTTCAGATGGAATTTCGCTTTTGTCACCTGGGCTGGAGTGCATTGGCACGATCTTGGCTCACTGCAACCTCCACCTCTCGGGTTCAAGTGATTCTCATGCCTCAGCCTCCCGAGTAGCTGGGATTACAGGCGCCCACCACCGTGCCCAGCTAATTTTTGTATTTTTAGTAGAGATGAAGTTTCACCATGTTGGCCAGGCTGGTCTTGAACTCCTGACCTCAGGTGATGGGGAGGTCAGGCACCTGGCTTGGCTTCCCAAAGTGCTGGGATTACAGGCATGAGCCACTGCGCCCAGCCAACATTTCTATTAACTCTGATTTTTTAAGCACTTATTACATGCCAGGCATCTGACATGTCTGATTTTTGATGTCTGTTCATTTTCCATTATACAGATGAGGAAACTGAGGCTGAGCGGGAAGGAAGGACTTGTTCCAGGCAGCCGGGCTCTGGTGCCCAGATCCAGCCACTCTGCCCACCGCCTTCTCAAGGAACATTCCGGAGCTGAATCTTCACCCACACCTATCTTGTTTCTATTGGATAAATGTCTACAAGTGGAATTTCTGGGCCAAAACAGATGAGCCATCTTTAGGCTTTTGTAACCCCTGCACCTCCAGAAAACTGCCATTTTATACTCCGAGCAGCAGCATTTATTTGTGAATTTTCTCCAAGCCTTTATTTTAATTTTTTGTTTTTTCTGAGACGGAGTCTTGCTCTGTTGTCCAGGATGGAGTACAGTGGCAGGATCTTTGCTCACTGCAACCTCAGCCTCCTAGATTCAATCAATTCTCCTGCCTCAGCCTCTCGAGTAGCTGGGATTTTGGGCGCCTACCAGTGTGCCCAGTTAATTTTTGTATTTTTAGTAGAGATGGGGTTTCACCATGTTGGCCAGGCTGGTCTCGAACTCCTGTCCTTAAGTGATCTGCCCGCCTGAGTCTCCCAAAGTGCTGGGATTACAGGTGTGAGCCACTGCACCTGGTCTAATTTTTTTTTTTTTTTTTTTTTTTCCCGAGACGGAGTCTCGCTCTGTCGCCCAGGCTGGAGTGCAGTGGTGCGATCTCGGCTCACTGCAAGCTCTGCCTCCCCGGTTTACGCCATTCTCCTGCCTCAGCCTCCTGAGTAGCTGAGACTACAGGCACCTGCCACCTCGCCCAGCTAGTTTTTTTTTGTATTTTACACGGGATTTCACTGTGTTAGCCAGGATGGTCTCAATCTCCTGACCTCATGATCCGCCCGTCTCGGCCTCCCAAAGTGCTGGGATTACAGGCTTGAGCCACAGCGCCCAGCCTTTTTTTTTTTTTTAAATAATAGAGACAGGGTCTCTCTATGCTGCCCAAGCTGGTCTCAAACTCCTGGACCCAAGCAATCCTCCTGTCTCGGCCTCCCAAAGTGCTAGGATTACAGGAGTGATCCACTGTGTCCAGCCTCCAAATCCTTTCTAAACACTAGGACTTTTCATAAAAAGAAAAAAGCTATGCCAATTAGACACACACAGAAATCTCATTATTTTATTTTGAATTTATTTGACTAAATTGAACTTACAAATACATTTATTATGGCCAGGCGCGGTAGTGCACACCTGTAATCCCAGCACTTTGGGAGACTGAGGCAGGCAGATCGCTTGAGCTCAGGAGTTCAAGACCAGCCTGGCCAACATAGTGAGACCTCGTCTCTACGAAAAATACAAAATTAGCGGCTGGGAGTGGTGGCTCATGCCTGTAATCCCAGAACTTTGGGATGCTGAAACAAGTGGAATGCTTGAGCCAAGGAGTTCGAGACCAGCCCAAATAAAAATAAATAAATAAATAAATAAAAGCTGGGCTGAGATGGGAGATTTACCTGAGCCTGGGAAGTCAAGGTGCAACCACCACTGCACTCCAGCCTGGGCAGTGGGAGTGAGACCCTGTCTCAAAAAACAAAATCCAAATATGTTGCTTAACCGTTTACATGTTTGTAGTTTTTTTTGTTTTTTTTTTTTAATTTCAGTGAATTGCCTTTTCATAGCTTTTTTCTACTTTTCGGGAGTGTTTGTATTTTTCTTATTGATATCTAATAACTCTTTATATCTGAAGGATATGAAGGCTTTGTGATACAGGTTACAGATTTTTTTTTTTTTTTTTTTTTTTTTTCCTCTGCTTGCTGTGAGCCTTTTGGGTTTGTTTCCTAGCTCCAACTATTAACTTGGTATCAAGTTTCCTGGCTGGGAGACAAGCTTTTACCGACTTCCTCTGCTTGCCAGAAAAGTCATCTGCTAACTAGATACTGGCAGCCTCTCCGCTGTCTTGCAGCTGCTTCCGGAGTGGGTTCCACAGGGATTCCCCTGTATTCTTGGTTCAGCTTGCAGAGGGACTTACACACCCCATGGAGACCGTTTCCTCCCATTCTGTCTGGAGTTTTCAGCCTACCTCAAGACAATGAGATATTCCTGACCTTTCCACCTATTTCCCTTCAACTCCACCTTCTGAAATACATTTGCACAATACATGTGCCCTTCATAGGCTTCTTTAGCTGTCTTCCTTTTACCCTGGACGGGATGTAGATGTTAATTCTGGAACAATTGCAGCTACAAGAATTTGTCATCCTGCCCCTTTTGAGAAAACCATTGTTTGCCCTTGGGTCTAAATCCTTCCAGATGGGATGGGATGTATCTTGTCACCCCTTTTTCTTACTTAACATGAAAAGACTTTTCCTCGTCAAGTCCACAGAATGTAAATTTGTTTTTACTTTTTTTTTTTTTTTTTTGAGACGGTTGTCTCACTTTGTCGCCCAGGCTGGAGTGTAGTCGTACGATCTTGGCTCACTGCAACCTCCACCTCCTGGGTTCAAGTGATTCTCCTGCCTCGGCCTCCTGAGCAGCTGGGCTTACAGGCGAAGTGCCACTATGACCGGCTAATTTCTTGTTTGTTTTTTTTTAGTAGAGATGTGGCTTCACTATATTGACCAGGCTGGTCTCGAACTCCTGACGTCAAGTGATCTGCCTGTCTCAGCCTCTCAAAATGCTGGGATTACGGGCGTGAGCCGCTGCACCTGGCCTGTATCATTCTTAAAAATTAAGTTTTAGCCGGGCATGATGGCTCACTGGTAATCCCAGCACTTTGGGAAGCTGAAGGGGGAGGATTACTTGAGCTCCCCAGGAGTTTGAGAAGAGCCTGGGTAACATAGGGAGACTCCATCTCTACAAAAAATTTAAAAGTTAACTGGGCGTGGTTGAGTGCACTTGTAGTCCCAGCTACTTTGGAGGCTGAGGCAGGAGGATCAGTTGAGCCCAGGAGGTTGAGGCTGCAGTGAGCCATGATCATGCCACTGCACTATAGCCTGAGCCACAGAGCAAGACCCTCTCTGTGAAAATAATAAAAATAATAATGTTCAGATGTATTTTTTAAAGTTTTTATTGTTTTTAAAAATAGAGGCATGGTCTTGCTATGTTGCACCACTGCACTCCAGCCCGGGCGACAAAGCCAGACTCCGTCTCAAAAAAAAAAAAAAAAAGTGTGATACTAAGTCAATCAATTTGAAAATACGGCACTAGAGTATTGGAAAACAATCCCTTGGTGGCATTTCCATGAAAACACGGCCCTTGTCTCTGGAAGAGCTTGTGCTCAGAACGGTCCATTATCTTGCCCTGGCTCCATTTTCACGCCAACCCTGTAGGGTCTCTATGATCTCATTTTATAGATGGACAGACTGAAGCTCACACACAGTAAGCCCAGGGCGGGGACTGGATGTGACGCCAGGTCTGTGGACGTCATGACCTTTATTCTCCACAACCCTCAATGACATCCCTGTGAGGTCCAAAACCAGGATGGCAAAACCCACGTTGCAGCAGAGGAAACTGAGGCTAAGGTCTCTTGGGTCCCAAACCAACTCCTAAGTAGCCAAGTCCGCCTGGTGGCACAGCCCAGGTTTTATACATGGGGAAGTTTGGCGGCGCATCAGGAGGAGGTCTCGGTGGTAGGACGCACCCGGAGAAAGCGCGGGTTCCTAACCCTAACGCTACCCCTAACCTCCCTTCCACGCTCTCCGAGCGCTCTGTGCCTTTAACGTGGGTGCGGGGGCGGGGCGTCCTGGGTAGGGCTGCAGGTGACGTCACTCCGGGCTTTGGGTCTCCGAAAGCGTCTGGAGGCGGGGCCTGGACTTCACGCCAGGCGCGCTCCTCCCCTTCAAGGCGCGCGGCCGGGCGGGGCCCCAATGACCCCTTTAAGGCGCGGCCAGAGTCCTCCCGCAGAAAAACGACTTAAAGGAGACGCGTGGCGCGATGGCGGCGGCCCCACGCGCCGGCCGGCGGCGCGAGCAGTCGCTCCAGGCGCTGCTGTTTCTGCTGCTGGCGCCACTGCCGCCGGGGGGCCAGCCGGGCGCCGACGCCTACTTCCCCGAGGAGCGCTGGAGCCCGGAGTCGCCCCTGCAGGCGCCGCGCGTGCTCATCGCGCTGTTGGCGCGAAACGCGGCCCACGCTTTGCCCACCACGCTGGGCGCACTCGAGCGGCTGCGGCACCCGCGGGAGCGCACTGCGCTATGGTGAGCCGAGCCCGCTGTCCCTATCGGGCGGGTCCACGAGAGCCCCTGCTCGCTGTCCCCTTTGGGGTGGATTCACACGAGCCCCTGCCCGCTATCCTCTTTTGGGCGGATCCGCGCGTGCTTTCTGCTCTCTACCCCCATCGGGACGGGTCTACGCATGCCCCTGCCCGCTGCCCCATCGGGATGGGCCCACGCGTGCCCCCTGCCTGCTGTCCTCCCATGGGGCCAGACACAGCCCTCCCCACATTAAAACAAGCGGGATCGAGTTCCTCCTGCTGGCTCCTTTGGGGTGGGCTGGGCACCGCTCCTGTCTACTGGACCCTACTAGGGCAGATCCGGCCCCACTGACTGTGACTCGTTCTAACTTCCTCTGGAGCACGTACACCTCCAAAGGACTGAGCCCGCAGCCCCCACTGGGGCGTTGCCAGGGGCCACATCTAACAGCAAGCCTTTCTGTGCCTGCTGCTGACCTTAAGCTTGAACTCAGCCCGGCTCCAGGCCCCAGTCAAACCCCTGCCTTCGGACCGGCGTGGGTGGAGTCCAGGACTAGATGGCCCAGGAGGAAGTGGATGCTTTCTTGGGAGGGAACAGGCCAGAGCTCTGAAGAAGTCTTTGACTGGTGACTTCTCACTCCCTGCCTCAGTTTCCTCAAATGGAAAATGGGTCCGGGCGCTGTGGCTCACGCAGTAATCCTAGCAATTTGGGAGGCCAAGGTGAGCGGGTCACTTGAGCTCAGGAGTTCGAGACCAGCCTCGCCAACATGGCAAAACCCTGTGTCTAGAAAAAATACAAAAATTAGTCGGGTGTGGTGGTGTGTGCCTGTAGTCCCAGCTATTCAGGAGGCGGGAAAATCACTTGAGCCCAGGAGTTTGAGGCTGCAGTGCGCTATGATTGCACCACTGCACTCTAGCCTGGGCTACAGAGTAAGACCCTGCCTCTAAAAAAAAAAAAGAAAAGAAAATAAGTGTATTAATATAATTCTCTTTTGGGGTTTGTCTCTGAAGATTAACCAGTTAATGGATGTGGAGTCCTTGGGTCTGGCATG